TTTTCCCCCATTTACCCCCTCCTCCTCACTCCCACCCCACTTTCGCCTCCCTCCCGCCTTTTCCCACACTGTTGTCTGTGTCCATTGGTTATGCATATAAGTTCCTTGGTTTATTACCCACCCCCAACCCCCTTCGAGGTTTGTCAGTCTAGCAACCTATTTGTACGTTTTATTCCCTTCACCTTTTTCACCCATTCCCCCAACCCCCCTCCCATCTGGCAACCAACAAAATGTTCTCTGTATCTATGAGAATGTTTCTGTTCTGCCTGTTCATTTTGTATGTAGATTCAATTGTCGATAGATATGTATTCATTGCCATTTTGTTTGTTCATACATTTTATCTTTTTCTTCAAAAAGACCCTTCATCGTTTCATATAATAACGGTTTGGTGGTGATGAACTCCTTTAGCTTTTCCTTGTCTGGGAAACTCTATATGGTCATCGATTCTAAATGCCAGCTTTGCAGGATAGAGTAATCTTGGTTGTAGGTTCTTGCTTTTCATCATCTGAATTTCTTGCCACTCCCTTCTGGCCTGCAAAGTTTCTTTTGAGAAATCAGCTGACAGTCTTATGGGAACTCCCTTGTAGGTAACTAACTGCTTTTCTCTTGCTCCTTTTAAGATTCTCTCTTTGTCTTGAGCCTTTTGCATTTTGATGATGATGTGTCTTGGTGTGGGCCTCTTGGGGTTCATCTTGTTTGGGACTCTCTGTGCTTCCTGGACTTGTATGTCTGTTTCCTTCACCAAGTTAGGGAAGTTTTCTGCCATTATTGTTTCAGATAGGTTTTCAATTTCTTGTTCTCTCTCTTCTTCTGGCATCCCCAAGATGTGAATGTTGGCACGCTTGAAGTTGTCCCAGAGGCTCCTTACACTGTCCTCATTTTTTTTGGATTCTTTTTTCTTTTTGCTGTTCTAATTGGGTGTTTTTTGCTTCCTTATATTCCAAATCGATGGTTTACTTCTTGGATTTACCTACTCTACTATTGATTCCCTGTAAATGATTATTTCAGTTAGTGCCTCCTTCATTTCTGACTGTGCATCCTTCATTTCTGACTGGTCCTTTTTTATGCTCTTGAGGCCCTCACTAAGTTCGCTGAGGTTCTCACTAAGTTCATTGAGCATCCTTATAAGCAGTATTTTGAACTCAGCATCTGTTAGGTTGCTTATCTCCATTTCGCTTAGTTCTTTTCCTGGAGTTTTGTTCTGTTCTTTCATTTGGGACCTGTTTCTTTGTCTCCTCATTTTGGCTGCCTCCCAGTGTTTGTTTCAGTGTATTACTTAAAGAGAGGTATGGGGCTCGCTGAGACCCGATGCTGCTCGTTTGAAAGAATTTAGGAAAAACCTGAAGCAGGATCCAAGACAGGCCAATCCTATGGTTAAGCAACTGGCAACAGCTTGGGTGGGTTTGAAAGTTGGGTGGGTTTGAAAGTTGGGTGGGGCAGGGTGGGACCTCAGGGAGTCACCAGGGCGGGGCTACCAGTGTGAGCCAGGTTGCTGGAGTCCCAGATATGGCTGCTGTCTGCTGCCCCGGGAAGGGCTCACCAAAGGAACAAAGGCCTCTGACAGCACTTCTGTCCCCGTGAAAGCCCCCTCTCCAGCCCTCGCTCCAATGCCAAATAGCTCAGTTCTTCCCTGTATGTCTCTGGTGCCCCTCGAGCTGCCTCCTCTCCAAGCTTAGAGGGAGAGAGTCCGATAAGTCCGTGCGTGGGCCCTTGGAGAGGAGCTGTCTGGGGCTCCAGCCGCCTCAGCCTCCCTGAGCCTCAGTTCCTGGTGGTTTTTCCAGCCAGAATTTATGGGGACTTCTCTTCCTGGCACTGGAACCCTGTGCTGGGCACCGAGGTGTCCTCCTGATTTTTATCCGCCACATGTGGGTGTGGGACCCGCTCCTCTGCGCCTCCTACCAGTCTGGATGTGGCTGCTGCTTTAATTCCGTAGTTGTAGGACTTCCATTCAGCTTGATTTCAGGCGGTTTTGAATGATGGTTGTTCTATAATTTAGTTGTAACTTTGATGTGGTTGTGGGAGGACACGATACCGTGTTTACCTACGCTGCCATCTTGACCGGAAGTCTCTAGTTCTGATTTTTAATTCCTCCTCCATAATCCTAGAGTTCATTTGGTACAATTGTGATCCATTCATCTGAGGTCAGGATGCAGGTTTATGGGTAGCTGGAATTCTTTCCTTAGCAGGAACACCTGTGCTGGCAGATGTGGGCACTTGGTCTACATGATACAGGGATTCTGACTCACTATTTGAAAAGAAATCGGGGTATTTTTAGCCTGTATAGTAACATGAATTCCAGTGGAGTTAGTTAAATTTTCAAAAATTAATAGATAAAATTAATTAACATTTAATTGATATTGGGTAAGGAACAACTTTTTAAAAAAATCCTCACCCGAGGATATTTTTCCATTCATCTTTAGATAGTGTGGGGGAAAAGAGAAAGAGAGAGAGCAAGAGAAGCATCAATGTGAGAGAGACACATTGATTGGTTGCCTCCCGCATGACCCTGCCCAGAGCTGGGGACCGAACTGCAACTGAGGTACATGCCCTTGACTGGAATCAAACCCGTGACTCTTCAGTTCATGGGCCAACACTCTAACCGCTGAGCCAAACCGGCCAGGGCAAGGAAAAACTTTTAAGCATAAAGATAATGAAAAGATAGATTTGTATAAAATTAAAAACGGGAAATATTAGCAAACATCAAAGAATTGCTGTCGTTACAGAAAGAACTCATAAGTCAACATGGAATATAAGGAAAAATTGTTGAAGATTTGAACAAGAAAATCATAGTAGAAGAAACATAAGCAGCCAGTTTTATAATTAAATGTTTATTCTTTTTAAAATTGATTTTTAGAGGGAGAGAGGAAGAGAGAAAGAGACAAAAATTTTCATTTATTCCACTTATTTATGTATTTATTGGTTGATTCTTGTATGTGCTCTGCCTGACTGGGTTTGAACCTACAATCTTGGTGTTTTGGATAATGCTCTAACCAACTGAACTACCTGCCCCAGGGCCTTATATATTTATATCTTACCAGCAATGAAAGGAAAATAAATATCATGTTTGGCAACAGATGCCATCAAATTAGCATATTAAAAAAGAAATTCTAAATAAAAACAAGAGTACTTTAAAACATTTTCAGCCCTGGCCGGTTTTGCTCAGTGGTTAGAGTGTCGGCCTGTGGTCCAGAGAGATCCGTGTTTAGTTCCCACTAGGGGAAAAAACCTCGGTTGCAGTTTGGCCCTGGCCCTGGTTGGGTCGTGTGAGTGGCAACCACTCGATGTGTCCTTTTCACGTCGATGTTTCTCTCTCTCTCTCTCTCTCTCTCTCTCCCCCCCCCCCCACTCTATCTGAACAAAAAAAGAAAAAATGTCCTCGGGTTAGCATAAAACAAACAAACAAACCAAACAAAAACAAAAAAACATTTTCATATGCTTCTGGCAGAAATCTAACTTGGTATATAACCTTTGTAGAAAGCAATTTGGTAATATTTGAAAGCTTTAAATTTTATGTTTTCATCTACTAATATTCCTAGGAATCTGTCCTAAAGCTATTAAGAAAGAAAATAAAATACTTGCATTACATTTATCATTTAACACAGTATTTTTTATAATAGGGAAACACTGGAAATTACTTACATACCCAAGAATGGAGAAAATGCTTCCTTAAGTGGAAAATTATGTAGCCATGAAGTTATAATTTTAAAGAATATATTATAGACATGAGAAAATATTCATGAAATGTTATAAGAAAAAAATTAGTGTATAATGCTGTATTTGCAGTATTGCATGAGTCATGCAGACCTGGCTTTGAATTTTGCTCTGCCCTTGATCCATTGTATGATATGACCATGTGACTTTTCTAAGGCTCCGTTCCTTCATCTGTAAAATGGGACTCCTAGTACTTAACTCACAGAATTACCAGGATTAGAAATGATAATGTCTATAACAGCCTTTAAAAAATTAATTCCTTATTTTACTTTAATTCTTGCAGTAAAACAAGAAGTCAACTTTAGTGCCTCCCATTAAATATATCATATCATTAATAAAAACATTCAAGATACAATAGTCAAAACTCAAAAAAATTTGGAGACTAAATCTGTAATTACCCCTGATTGTTTATAAATTTCACTATTATACATTTTAATTATTGCTATTTAAATTTCAGTTTTAATTTTCTTCCAAGAGAAATATTGTTTTTATTCTTGCTAATCTTTTCCAGCTGTTGAACTACCATTAACCTTATATTTATCTCTATGTATTTAACAGCCTTTTGCGACCTGAGTTCCACAAGAGAATTAAGTCCTTAATGTCCTCAGGCATCAATTGTGTGTAATGAATTTACTTCTTTCCTTTGGGTCTAGAAGGGCACCAGTTATTTGCCATTCTTGGGAGAACTGAGAAAACAATCACCCCAAATCATTGTCTGTTCTGTGGCTAAGATGAGAAACCCTGATTGGGATATGTGGCACACACTAGGCACTCAGTAAATAGGAGCCGTTCCTATTATTTTTGCCCTAGAAGTCTCAAAAAAGAGCACTGGCTTTCTGGATTTCTTTGGTTGGTGTATGCTTCTTGAGGGAACGGTATTTTGCAGACTGATCCAGTAAGTGGATATCTCTATATGGCAGTTTCACAGGCCTTGTCTTTGGAGTTGGGACTGGCTGTGGCTCTAGGACTCCTTGCAACACCTCTCTTTGCTCTCTTGTAGTGCACCAGCCTCTTTCCTCCACTGCAGGGCACCAGAGTACTGCCTGCAATCTGAGCAGAGTTGCAGAGTGTCAGTTCTCTCCCCATAACTGTCCCTATGACAGAACCCTTATTCAGGCTTGGGTGTATGTTTTTTTCAAAAATTGCTTGATAGTAATATCTTTCAGTTCTGGGTGTTTATAAATACTGTCTTTGGACATTGACCATTTTTAAATATCTTACTTTTAATACACTGTTTTAATTTGTTTTCTGATGAATACTTTTCATGACTGCTTCTTATTTTATTTTAGCTACTGATCTGCTTCTTGCCTGGAATCCCATTTGTTTGGGTTTGGTAGAAGGTGTTATTGGGAAAATTCAGCTTCATTCAGGTATGTTTCTGTAGACTATTAAACTTGTCAAATTTAATGTGGCATTCTGTGACATTTTCTTCTTTGAGGATAAATGTAATGGCTTTGATTCCTTTGCCTTAATTTTGGGTCTGCCCAAAGTGGGTATATTTCCATGTAAGTTTCATGAAATAAAAATAAAACTTTAGAGAGAAGAAGTTATAATATTATAATACTTTCTTCCTCTTAAAAACAAACAATTTATCAAATGCCTACCATGTGTCAGGAATTGTGCTAGTTGGTAGAATACAATAGTGAGCTAAAACTAACCTAATTTCCACCCTCATGGAGCTTATAGTTTGGGAGTGAAGACAGACATCTGTGAATAATTATTGAAATAAATATATTATTATTTGATAATAGTGTCAGGTGGTATGATGGAAAGATTCCCCAACTGCACTGATTTCAAGGGAGAGGACAGTAGGAATAAGGCTAGAGAGGTAAGCAGAGGGCAGACCATAACTGTTGTTGGCTTGGAGTCAGCCATCCATTCCTGATACGATTGACTCTTGCCAGGGAAGAGTATGGGTCTCTTAGTATGGAGTGTGATCCTTTCTGGGAGCCCTATCCAGGGCAGACAAATTGATGGAAGGTCTGGATCATGCACCAGGCCCTGTCTTAGAAGGACAAGCACCTGTGCCCTGGGTTCAGAGGGAATTTTTTTTTTTTATCCTCACCCGAGGACATTTTTATTTATTTATTTGTTCAGATAGAGCGAAGAAAGAGAGAGAGAGAAACATCGACGTGAAAGGGACACATCGAGTGGCTGCCACCCGCACGACCCAACCAGGGCCGGGGACAAACTGCAACCGAGGTACATGCCCTTAGTGGGAACCGAACCCGGGTCTCTCTGGACCGCAGGCCGACGCTCTAACTGCTGAGCCAAACCGGCCAGGGCTCAGAGGGAATTTTGTTTGTGAGAAAATAGATGTTATTTAGCAGTTTATTGTAGATATATGATATGGGTTGTTGTAAAACAAACACATACGTATACCTAACACCCAGCTTAAATGAAACATGATCAGTGTCTTTGGGCCACTGTCACTATGGTTTTTTCTAAGTATATCCTTCACAAGAACCTGTCATTTTGAATTTTGTATTTTCTTCCTCGATTTTCATTATTGCTTTCATTACATATGTATTCCTAAACAATATGTTGCTAAGGATTGTATTTTGGGGGTTTTTAATAAATGATATTAAGCTGTTTTATTTTCTTTTGCTTTTTTCCCCCTACTCCTTCTTATTGATTTTTTTTTCTTTAGAGAGAGGAAGGGAGAGCGAGAGAAATATTGATGTGAGAGAGAAATATCGGCTGGCTGCCTCCTGCACTGCATGTCCCGCACTGGGGATCAAGCCCGCAACTCGGACATGTGCCCTGACCGGGAATCGAACTGGGACCTCTCAGTCTATGGGATAATGCTCAATCCACTGAGCCACACCAGCCGGGCTCAACTTTATATTTTTTAGATTTATCCATGTTGATATATGAAACTTTAGTTCCTTGTTTACACTAGTGTATGAATTTATCATAATTTGTCCTTTTTCCTATCACCGGTTAGTTTTTTTTTTCACTATTAGAAATAATATTGCTTCAAGCATTTTTGTGTGTTCTGCCTTTGATAGTTTTTAAAGTTCTTTCAATACAGAGGAGAAAAGCATTTAGACATTTTATAACCATGCTGAGTATTTTAGTAACATTCTCCTACCTGTCCACATTTACATACATATACTTTTTTTTTTTTTTTATCCTCACCCGAGGACATTTTTCCATTTTTTGTTCAGGTAGAGTGGGAGGGAGAGAGAGAAACATTGACGTGAAAGGAACACATCGAGTGGCTGCCACCCGCACGACTGACCAGGGCCGGGGACAAACTGCAACCGAGGTACGTGCCTTTAGCGGGAACTGAACTGGGTCTCTCCAGACCGCAGGCCAACGCTCTAACCGCTGAGCCAAACTGGCCAGGGCTACATACATATACTTTTAATTCATTTATATGCTGACAAGATAATTTCACAGTTGAGTGTTCTGAATTAAAATTCATTTTCTATTTAAATGAAGTGTATGAAACTTTTGAGTTATTTTTTTTTTCAGTTTGAGTCACATCTTGGATCAGTGAATAAATCACTGAACTCAATCAGAAGACCTAGATTCAAGCTTTATTTATTAGCTTTGAGATATAAGGGAAGTTATGTAATATCCTTTTCATTTATTTATTACTATGTAACAAGCTACCCCAAAAGTTAATGCCTTAAAACAGCAGTGTATAATATCTCATGAGTCTATGGATTGTCCAAGAGGCTCTTTGGCTCTTGTATTCTGTTGGCCAGGGTCATTACCATGGTAGCTTTGAGCTGGGAGCTTGCCAGGAGGGTCTCAGTTTTCCTTCATGTGGCTTCTCCTTCCACATATCTCATCTCACATGGCTTCTTTTTGGGTCTTCTCTCTCCTGGATACCTGTCCTTTTAGGATGGTGGCTAGAAGACAAGTCCCAATGTGCAAGGGCTTATCAATCATCTGTTTGTGTCACTGAATTTACTAATGTCCCATTGGACAAAAGAAGTCACATGGCGAAGCCCAGAGTCAACATGGAAGGGGACGTCACAAGAGCATGCATCCCAGGAGGCTAGTTCATTGGGCCCCAGTGTCCCTGAGCCTCTACTTCATAAGCAGTAAAACAAGTAAAAACAACTACCCTCTTTTTTTCCCTAGAGTGTTATCAGTCTCCAATGAGATAGTATATCTGAAGGTGCTTAATAAATTATAAGTCACTATTTTATCAAGACTCTTTTGGTTCAAATACAAATAAATCAGCTTATGCAAAACAAAACAACAACAACAACAAAAAAACAACCAAATAAGGAACCCAAGGGACCCAAACCAAGAAGCAGATATTGTGTAGGATCTGAGATTACTTTTTCTGGGTCTGCTGGTCTGTGACCACCACTTCTCCCTATACTTCTTCCTTCTTCTCTTCTTTTGGCTTTCTCTGTTTCTTTATAGGTAGGACAAATTTTTGCCCTTACAGTATTCAAACCAACCAACATCTGATATTTCTTAAAACCACTGGAGACTGACTAGCTATCAAGGATTGAGTAATGAGTTTAGTTCAGACCCCTAGGACAGAGACTCTTTTTGGCCCACTGGGCCAAGGGCCTTCCCTGGTCACAAAGTCCAGACATTTTCCAGAGGTGCACTCCTCTAGGCAGAAGGGGCAGTCAAAGCAGTAGGGTTTGGACTTGGCAGACAACCCAAAAGTTATCTCCTACAAGCAATGTACAAATATGTTACTGGTTGATGAGTTTATGGTGCTATGAAAGTATGGTTATTAGGAGGTGGCGAAGTGTGGTCATCTCCTGTGATCAACCCCCATTTACATGTACTTCCCCTTCTTGCACCATTTGCCTATCTTTGGACCAAAAACAAGTGGTTGGTAGGCAGTGGGGGTACCTGTTATATAGGATATTTTGGAAGAGGGAGAAGTGGGGAATAGAGTGAACTGGAGAAAGAAAATATTTTAAAAAAGGAAAGATGGACAAGGACAGTTTCAGTTTTTCACTTTCCTAAACTTTACCTTTTTTTCCCCTTGTCATATCACTTTTAAAGTTTAGCTGTTAACAAAGGGAGTGGTGAGGAAACAAAAGAAAACCTTTTCTAGGCCCCCTGCTGCTCTTCACCCACAGAGAGAATTGCAGCTCCACCCTGTGTGTCATTACACCTCCAGCTCCTCGCCCTTTGAGCATTAATCTTGCTCTTCTTGCCTTCTGTTCTTAATTCTCTGTCCTGGGGATGCCTCCTCCCTCCCCGACACCCTCAAATCTCTTGCTCTAGCTACAGCATTAGCCTGGGTGATGGGAGGTGTGCTCCTGGTATGCATTAGAACCGAGATAATCACTGTAGGCATACTTTCCCATGGGAGCCTCGTACCTTCTGGGAGAGAGAATGACGGGAATAAAGTGTATGTATTTAAACTTTTTCACCCTCCTACTTACTCTCTACATATTAATGCATGAATTTTTGTTCTTGCCTGGTGAGATGGGAACATAAATTTATTTGAACAGATGTTGACAGTCTTAAAAGGGCGTGGGTGAGCCATACCACTGTTCGTGACTGTCACTGAACTCTAAGCTCTGGGAATGTAAGCAGGTGTGACTTAGGAACTGTTTTAGTTTGCTGGGACTACCATAACAAAGTTCTACAAACTGGGTGGCTGAAGCAATAGAAATTTATTTTCTTACAATTCTGGAGGCTTAAAGTCTGAGATCAAGGTGTCATCAGGTTTGGTTTCTTCTGAGGCCTCTCCTTGGCTTGTCGATGGCTATCTTCTTCTGTGTCTTCACATTATCTTCTCTCTGTGTCTGTGTCCAAATTTCCTCTTAAAAAGGACACAAGTCGTATTGGATTGGGGTCCACCCTAATGACCTTATTGAACTTAACTGCCTCTTTAAAAATTTTTTAAAAATATTTTTTCTCTATTGATTTTAGAGGGGGGGGGAAGGGAGAGGCAGAGAGAGATAGAAACATCGATGAAAGAGAACATCGATTGGTCGCCTCCTGCATGCCCCCCACTGGGGATTTGGCCCATAACTTGGGCATGTGCCCTGATCGGGAATTGAACCAGCGACCTCTTGGTGCATGGGTTGATGCTCAACCACTGAGCCACACCAGCCGGGCTTAATTGCCTCTTTAAAGAACTTATTCATTCTTTCTTTCTTTTTTTTTTTTATACAAGGGAAAATTTATTTAGAAAGTCACAGAGGTAAAAAAAAAAAAAAGTGAGCCCTGGCCAGTTTGGCTCAGCGGTTAGAGCGTTGGCCCATGGTCCAGAGAGACCCGGGTTCAGTTCCTGCTAAGGGCGCGTACCTCGGTTGCTGTTTGTCCCCAGCCCTGGTTGGGTCGTGCAGGTGGCAACCACTCGATGTGTCCCTTTCACATTGATGTTTCTCTGTCTCTTTCTCTCCCTCCCACTCTGTCTGAACAAAAAATGTAAAATGTCCTCAGGTGAGGATTAAAAAAAAAGTGAGCCAGCTGGGCTTTGTGGGCTCAGGAAACAAATCACAGAGGCAAAAGAAGGGTCCTTGAAGCTTGGTAGAGAGAGAAGGTGAGAGAGCAAAGGCATGTGCCTTGAGGGAAGAGGAAGGTGAAAGGTGCTGGCATGCTCCAGAGAGAGAGTGAGAGAGAGAGAGAGAGAGAGAGCGAGAGAGCGAGAGCCAAGACTTATTTCTTTAAAATAGGGTCAGTATAGAAAGCCTCTTCCCCAGACATTTGCAGGCAGGTGGACTTTCAGCCAGAGTTTAATGGAGTCTATCCATTAAATGGACAACTTGAATGTGTCTGACTTTGGTTTTGTCAGTTAGGATTTATTAATACGAGGGACAGAAAGTAGATGGGACATGTAATGTGCTAAATAGATGAAAGAAAAGTAAAGTGTCATGAAAAACCAACATTTTTTATTCCTGTACTTTGATTTAATACTATATCAAGTTTATCCACTTAATATATCCAGGAATCACTCCTTATTAGTCACAGAATGCTTCTAATTCTTTTTCACAGCTGCCTAATACTCCATTGAGTATATGTGCCTTAATTTATTCAACCATTCTTTGTTGTCTGGGCATTCAAGGTATTTCCAGTATTTTGCAATTACACACTGCTGCAATGAATAGACTTGATTGCATATACTTGTGTGTTCTTGTATATCTTCAGGGTAAATTCACAAGAGTGGAATTGCTAGGTTAAAAGGTGTAAGAGCATATGTTTTATTGTTAGGAATCACTAAATTTCCCTCCAGAAAAGTTGTATCTGTGTGTAGTCCCACCAGCACTGTATGAGAGTGCCTATTTCTCCACAGCCTTGCCAGCAAATGTGCTGTCATACTTTTTTTTTGTTTTTTTAATCCTCACCCGAGGACATTTTTCCATCTTTTGTACAGATAGAGTGGGCGGGAGAGAGAGGAAGAAAGAGAGAGAGAGAAACATCGACGTGAAAGGGACACATCGAGTGGCTGCCACCCGCACGACCAACCAGGGCCGGGGACAAACTGCAACCGAAGTACGTGCCCTTAGCGGGAACCGAACCCAGGTCTCTCCGGACCGCAGGCCGACGCTCTAACCGCTGAGCCAAACTGACCAGGGCTTTTTTTTTTAATCCTCACCCGAGGACATTTTTCCATTTTTTGTACAGACAGAGTGGGAGGGAGAGAGAGGAAGAGAGAGAGAGAGAAACATCGATGTGAAAGGGACACATCGAGTGGCTGCCACCCGCACGACCAACCAGGGCCGGGGACAAACTGCAACCGAGGTACATGCCCTTAGCGGGAACCGAACCCCGGTCTCTCAGGACCACAGGCCGACGCTCTAACCGCTGAGCCAAACCGGCCAGGGCCATACTTTTTAAATTTTCTCCAATCTGATGGGTAAGAATGGTACTACTCTAATTATGAGTAAGATTGAACATCTTTTCACATGGTTAAGGGCCATTTTTATATTTTATCGTGTGCTTTACTTTAAAGGGTTATATCTAATGCACATTTTTTGTTGTTGGATTATTCACCTTCAGCTTCCCAGGACAGTAGCACTTTATCAATACTAGACATTAATATGACTTTTCTCTTTCAGATCTCCCATGGTGGCTTATTTTAATTAGGCAGAAAGCACTGGTGGGCAAACTTCCAGGAGACCATGAGGTCTGTAAAGTTACCAAAATTGCTGTGCTATCACTTTCTGAAATGGAACCTCAGGATCTTGAGCTAGAGGTAAGGTGCCATCTCAGGAAATTTTATGGAATTGTGATATAAACCTAATAGCAATTATGAGGATTTGGTTTAATAGACCAGAATCATACAATGTGGATAATATCTTTAAAATAATTCATTTTAGTAGTGGAACCTTTGTTTCAAAATCTGTGGAATCCAATATATGAGACACATAAAAGCAGGGTTGCTTTGGTAGAGGTTGTGATGGGGCAGTGGAGATCTGTTGTGAACATTAGTGTACAAATTTTTGGTGGGCATTTCTTTTCTTTGGGTATATACCTAGGGTTGGAATTGCTGGGTCATATGGTAACTCTATGTTTAACCTTTTTGATAAACTGCCAGACTGTTTTTCAATGCAGTGTGCCATTAAAAACAAACAGAAAGATCTATCAAGGGTATAAAGAATCTGTGGGGTTCAAATAAATGAGAACATAGATGTTCTTTCTTTTGGAAAAAAACAACAACATCCTTTAAAGTTTTATAGGCTTATGTTCCATGTCTGCATATCGTATTTGCTGTATCTCATTGCCTTAATAGATAACTGCATCATTTTCCATATTTAGTTTCCCATTAGACATCTGTTTAAAATTTTAGCTCCAGATGGACATAGAGAGATACCAGCTTTTAAAGTAAAATCATTTATTTTTATTTTCTTAAACAGTAGCAGCCACATCAGCTTTTAATCTTGATTGTGAAATATAAGTTGCTAGAGTAATAGAGAAACTCGGGAAGTACTGAGGGGCTTGTGGTGGTGCTTTTCTTTTTGAGATAGTGTGTGTCAGTGTTGTGATAAGGACCCAAGCTGCGCAGAACTGGCTGGGCCTCTGGAAAAGGGAAAGTGATCCCACTGTCAACATGATTCGTCGTAATCCCAAAGGCTCTGTCTAAGCAAAGCATTTTAGGACTGGAAAGCATCCCAAGAAGTAATTTTCTCTCTCCATATTTTGTAGTAGGACTTAATTTAACCTTTAAAAAAAAATAGTAGTCTACACTTACTGTTCTAAAGGTAACTGTGGATGATTCTAAAATATTCATTGAAAATGTTACATTTCTATTTAGAAAAATCAGTTTTAAGTAGAGTTAGACTTCTGAAGAGGATGGTGTAGTGAGTTTGTGCTTTGTTAAACAGACCACAATGTTTATCTCAAACCTTTGGGCCATATTTGTTTCAGAATTCAAGTTTTCTTGGTGGGGGGTTCTTACTGAGAAGGTTATTCTAAGTATTTTGTATGTGCCCTCTACAATACAACACAATATTTCTTAAAGAATCATGAATCAGTAAAATACTCATAATAAGGGAGGTAAATGATGACATTGATAGCCTCATGTCAGTTTAGGGTACATGTCAGCATATTGCAAATGAGTTGTAACAAACTTATTTTTTAATATTTTTTTAATTTTTACTTTTTTATTTTTTATCCTCACCTGAGGACATTTTTCCATTTGTTTGTTCACATGGAGTGGGAGGGAGAAAGAGGAAGACAGAGAGAGAGAGAGAGAGAAGAGAGAAGAGAAAGAGAAAGAAACATCAATGTGAAAGGGACACATTGAGTGGCTGCCACCCACACGACCTAACCAGGGCCGGGGACAAGCTGCAACCGAGGTACGTGCCCTTAGCAAGAACCAAACCCGGGTGTCTTTGGACCGCAGGCCGACACTCTAACCGCTGAGCCAAACTGGCCAGGGCAAGTTGTAACAAACTTAAATAAACTTTCAAGTTTCAGAATTTTTTTGGATTTTGGAGTTGTTGATAAGGAAGGAAGTTAAAAGGTATTGGGCCCTAGCCCAGGAAGAGGATAGATTTTTTTTAAAAAATATTTTTTCTTTATTGATTTTAGAAAGACAGGAAGGAGAGGGGGAGAGAGAAACATCAATGAGAGAGAACATCGATCAGCAGCCTCCTGCATGCCCCCCACTGGGGATCGGGCCCACAACCTGGGCATGTGCCCTGATTGGGAATCGAATTTGTGACATCTTGGTGCATGGATTGATGCTCAACCACTGAGCCACACCGGCAGGGTGGGAAAAGGATAGATTAAAAAGAGAAAAAGAGTTGTGGCTGGTGTGGCTCAGATGGTTGGGCATTGTCCCATGCACCAAAAGGTTACCAGTTCAATTGCAGGTCAGGGCAAATGCCCGGGTTTGCAGGCTCCATGCCTGGTAGGGGGCATGCAGGAGGCAGCCAATCAATGTTATACTCTCACATTGATTGATGTTTCTATCTTTCCCTCTCCCTTTCTCTCTCTCTCAAAAATCAATTAAAATATTATTTTTAAAAAGAGAAAGAAAATATTGCTAGGCCTACAAGAAATAGTGTCTTCATGGACCATAAACTGAACAGTAGTTTGAACTGGGGCCATGGGCCTCCTGGGCTCTGGATTCAGAAGCAGGCAATGGAAAGTCAAGATTTGTCCCCTACACAGTAAAGGGAACTAAAAGGACTACGTGGGAGATGGGGGCCTGAAGCCATGCTCAGTGCTTGAAGCTTGGTACTAGAGTGAGACTCCCCCCATTCCTGAAAGGAGGCTGTTAGGTTATTGCATTAAGTGGGATAATTGTGCATAAAGAATTCTGTCTGGCCCTGGCTAGTTTGGTTTACTGGTTAGAGCATCAGCCCATGGACCAGAGAGTACCGGGTTCTGTTTCCACTAGGGGCACGTACCTTGATTGAAGTTTGTCTCTGGTCCCTGTTGGGATTGTGCAGGTGGCAGCCACTCAATGTGTCTCTCTCACATCCATGTTTCTCTCTCTCTCTTCCTCCCTCTCTCCCTCCCGCTCTATCTGAAGATAAATGCAAAAAAATGTCCTCGGGTGAGGGTTTAAAAAAAAAAAAAGAGCCCTGGCCGGTTTGGCTCAGTGGTTAGAGCGTCGGCCTGCGGTCCTGAGAGACCCGGGTTCGGTTCCCGCTAAGGGCGCGTACCTCGGCTGCAGTTTGTCCCCGGCCCTGGTCGGTTGTCCGGGTGGCAGCCACTCGATGTGTTCCTTTCACATCGATGTTTCTCTCTCTCTCGCTGTTCCTCTCTCTCCCTCCCACTCTACCTGAACAAAAAATGGAAAAAAAAAAAGAATTCTGTCTGTTGGAAAAAATAAAATAAAGAAAAAATGAACTCTGTTAAACCAGTAGCACTTTCTTTAAGAAATACTGGTCTGAGCAAATGATAAGGATCTGAATTAACATACAGTGGTTGGGTTTGATAGGAGAGACTTCAGGAAGGAGCATAATGGAAGATGACTCCTAGCTTTCTTGCTTAAGTGATCCCGTGTGTGGCATAGTCCTTGTATGAGATAAGTCGAACCAGAGAAGGAACAAGATTTGAGGAAAAGGTGATCAATTTTGGAGATACTGACTTTGAGGGACTGATGTGTCAACAGTCTGAGCTCAGAGCAAAAGACAAGTTAGACATGTGAAGTTAAACATAAGGTAGTTAAAATTAGGAGAGAGGATGACATTTTCTAGAATGGGAAACAAGTTAAAGATAGAACTTTGGGAACACCATTCTCTTGAGAGACAAAGAGATGCCAGCAAAGGAGACAGAAGGAACAGTCAGAGGGGAGGAAGAACCCAGAGAGACTGGCGTTGTGGGGGCGACAGGGAGTGATCATTAGTATCCCATTCATAGACAGAGACAAGGCTTATTCTTTCAGAGTGAGGAGTTCCTTGTTTTACTCTGCCTGAGCATTTTCCTTGAGCCTTCACTCTGACTTACACCAATAAGACCATACTCCTCACAATTTCAATGACTGTGACACTGTTTGCACCCTGCTGGCTCACAGGGGATTTTATGGTTGAGGAATGGATTAAAAAAACCGATTCTGGTAAACTTGAACAATGTTAAAAGGTGGAATGAAAAGGGCTAATAGAGAGAGGGGTTGGAAAGAGAAGAGAGGGTGAATGACAGGGTGAGGTCCTGAAGAGAAAAAGGACTCCCATCCTTCTGGGGGTGAGGAACGTGTGGGTGTCGTCTAGGTGTGCTACTATAAGCTTATTACAGGATAGCTAGATCTTTAGAATCATCTTTGATACAATCCTGGGGGGGGGGGGGGATTTGCTGGCTTGGATGCTCTTAAGGATAATTATATATCTGATAAATGTATAATACTGTTTTATTTTTTAAAATAATTTTTTTTTTATTGATTTTAGGAAGAGAGGAAGGGAGAGGTAGAGAGATAGAGATTTAAATGAGAGAGAACATCGATTGGCTGCCTCCTGCATGCCCCCCACTGGGGATCAGGCCCACAACCTGGGCATGTGCTCTGACTGGGAATCAAACCGACAACCACTTGGTGCATGGATCGATGCTCAGCCACTAAGCCACACCAGCCAGGCATAATAATACCCTGTTTTAAACATTAAAATTGCAACAATGTAAAAAAAAAGACAAAAATAAAAAAAGGGAACAAACAACAATCTATAACTAGATTTGGGGCATGTTTGCACATTTTTAAAAGAAAGTGTTATTAATATGATTAGGTAATAATTAATGTTCTGTTAAAAATTACTAACAATAATTGTTCTGTGCCACAAGCATCAGTGGCAGCAGTAGGGAACTAACAGGGAAAATATCTTTTTAAAACTGCTTCCTTACTGCCCCAGTGACTCTACACCAAGGAAGGTAGGGGTGTGTGTTGTATTTTCAGGTTGATTATATGCCCCATGTGTGAATCTGGAGGTTACTGCTTAGGTTCATAGCATCAGAGCCCATTCATTCATCTAACAAATCCTTATTGAGACCTCTTATGCCTGATATTGCTAAGGTACTAGAGATATGAGTCAACAGAACAAAGATTGCTGCATTTATGGAGCTTATGTTATAGTGGGGTTGGGGATCAGACAATAAACATCAATATAGTAATTATATTACATTGTGGATTGGAACGTAATAAGGGCTATGGGAAATAAGAGCCCTGAGGTGGAAGCATTCCTGACATTGAGGAACAGCCAGGCGGCCAATGTGGATGGAGCGGAGTAAGGAAGCAAGAGGAGAGTAGCAGGACATGAAGGCAGTGGAGGAAAGATGAGGGTCTAGTTTTGGACATGGTGAGTTTGAGATGGAAATCCAAGTGGAAATGTTGGAATTTGTGAGGTTAAACTTGTGGGAGAGAGCTGGGCTGTAATTATACATTTGAGAGGGAGGGGTTGGCATACAGATGGTTTTTGAATCCATGAGACTGGATGAAACCACTGAGGAAGTGAGTACAGATAGAGAATGGGGTTAAGGACTGAACGTTGGGGTGCTGAGACATTAAGAAATCAAATGGTTGAAAAGTAACCAGTAAAAGAGGCAAAGCAACCAATGGAAGCCAAGTGAAGACAGTATATCAAAGAGAGTGAGAGAGTGATGAACGGTCAGAGCTACTGAGAGGTTAAGATAAGGACCAAGAATCCACTGCTGGGTTTAGCCAAGTGGAGTTCACTGGGCACAGTGAAGATAGCAGTTTAGGTTGAGTGGTATGGGGTGGAAGCCTAATTGGAGTGGGATGTGTGGGAAGACAATGGAGAAGAGGACCTGGAAGTAGTGAGGAGTGCAGAGAACAAGGACACTTACTAGCAGAGGAAGAGACCTCAAGTGAAGGTGTTAGAGGGGAGAGAGATCATTATGTTCGAATGTTGATGGAAATGACCCAGCAGAAAAGAGAGGAGAGGAGAGACCTGTTGAAGTAGTGTCCATCAGATTAGTTCTCCTCTTCTCATCCACTCAAGATCTTGTTAGTTTTGCTTATTGGAAGGGAAGTTGAGTTAACTCAATATCGGCAGTAGTGCTATGAGTCTTTTCAACCTCATCTTTAGTTCTCTTGTCTTCAGTGGTAGGCAGGAGCAGTGTAAAGTTGTAATCATTGTGAAACCCATGTGAATAGGGCTTTTAATAGCTTTAATTTTGAAGAGGCATAAAATTCGTAAGATTCCATTACATCTGGCAAAACTTGTCAGTCTCTACTTCCAATTTTTCTTCCAGCTTTATTGAGATATAATTGACAAATAAAACTGTTCATTTCCAAATTTGATTCAACAGGGATGGTCCCCCTTCTAAAAAATTATAATCAAAGCTTGAACTAGCTTTTGTTCTCATTATGCTTTTTTCCCCCATCCTGTGTATCTAGTGACAGTCATTTTGTAAGAAACTAATAGTAAGCATTTATAACTATTAGCTCATGATAGGAGTCTACTACTTGGTGTAGGAATAAAACTAGTGTGTTAAAAAAAATGGAATTAGTCTGCATGTAGTTAACAGAATTCTTGTGTATCCTTCTGAATATTTGCTTGTATGTTGAGCCACATGAAATTATATGTAACACTTGACTAACCGGGTAGTTGTCTTTAGAACCTCTGTGCTCTTCTTTGGTCTTACCACGTCCCCATCCTCTTCCTCACCTTTGCCAGTTGGCCTGCACATTTCCTGAAGCCTCTACTTACGGCTTCAAATTTAATATCTGGACCCAAAGAGCATGTTTTTTGTTGATTTTTGTTAGTGTGCAAAGGTAGGAGGAGAGGGAGTGGTTGACACGTCCAACTTTTAAGATTCTCAGTAGAGCAAACTCTTGACATTTTCTAAACCAGAACACTCAGTTAACTAGCATGAGTAAATACTTAGCACAGATAGCTGTAAAATAATTCCCCTGAAGCATAGAAAATGTGTATTTAGCAATATTTTAGATTTTAAGTGCCAGTTTTTGTTTTTTTTTTGGTACGTGCCCCTAGCAGGAACCGAACTGGGATTCTCTGGTCCTCAGGCCAATGCTCCAACTGCTGAGCCAAACCAGCCAGGGCTTAGATGCTAGTTTTTAAAGCATTAATTAAACTTAACTGCAAGCATTTTATTCGTTTAAATTAACTATAATTATGATCCTAACCTGAATTTTATACCCCTAAATCCTAAGTATATCCTGTCCTGTATTCTTTGCGTATCTTCTGCTGTAGCTTTCTAATCATTGAAAGCACAGTTGTGTTACTTAATATCAGTTGTCTACTTGGTTGTTTTTATAACTCTTGAGGTTTACTTTTAACCACAGTGCATGAACAGTAGTATCCACTTCTGTACTTATACTTGAACATTTAACAAGCAGATATTAATAATAATGAATTCTTTCTATCTCTCTAATTATTTAGCTCTGTAAGAAGCATCATTTTGGAATTAACAAACCAGAGAAGATTATACCGTCTCCTGATGACTCAAAGTTTCTACTGAAGACATTTACACATATTAAATCCAATGTGTCTGCTCCTAATAAAAAGAAAGTAAGAGTTTAATTGATATGGGCTTAGAATTCATTTTTGATTAGTTTTAAATTGAGGGGTAATTTTTCTGCCAGTGAACTTATTTTCAAACCACTTGCCATATTCCAGCACTGTCTCTGCATGTCCTTAGGATTATCTTTACTTCTTTCCTAGGAAGGTGTGTAGTATCCACATAATGCTTTACATTTAATTCCTACAGTGATAGATTCATTTTTACAGGTTAAGGAAAGTAAAGAAAAGGAGAAGTTGGAGAGAAGATTACTTGAGGAGCTGCTGAAGATGTTCATGGACTCGGAATCCTTTTACTATAGCTTGACCTACGACTTGACCAATTCAGTGCAGAGGCAAAGTGCTGCGGAGAAGGATCCCCGGCCCCTCTGGCAGAAGGTAGCTCTCACAGTTCAGAGCAGGGTTTGCTCTCCAGAACAATTTATGGACTCATTTAGCTTTATAGGAAAACTGAAACAACAGGTTTCTGAACTGTTTATTCTCTACATTTTCCAGGTTGATGACCGATTTTTTTGGAATAAATACATGATACAAGATCTTACTGAGATTGGTGTGAGTAGTTGTTTCTAAAATATTCTTAGTTATAGGTAAGCAAATATTTTAAAATTGTTTTCCCCTATAGAATGAGAATAATTTAGGGAAAAGCAAAGCACTTGGTATTTTAAGGCAGTTCATGCCACTGCTTAGCCACAGGTCCATCTTTTTAGCAGGTTCCCATAGGATAGTGGTAATTTAAGGCTCAGAGTTCCTATAAAAGAGGTAGTTTGTTTATCCATTGGAAATGTTGAACCCAGGTTGTCCTTGAATGATACCAAGTTATTTAACTTTCCTGTTTCCTCATCTGGGAATTGTAGTAGACAAATCTCAAGGACATTCCAGTACTGCCAATATTTGAATCAGGGAAGACAGGAAATATGATGAGGTTATTGAGATTTGGTGATTACTTTCTTCTTTTACTCTGTCATATATGTTGAAGAATTTTTATGACTGTCCAAGGGCAATTAATTAATTTATTTTTAGTCAATCGACAAATATTTGTGGAAGGCCTGCTATGTGTGCCATTTACTGTTTTGGATACAAAGTGGGAAAATAGTTGATTAAGGTCATATATTATCTTTTTCTTTACCTTTCAAAAATTTCAAACTTTTTGCCCTGGCCAGTGTGGCTCAGTTGGTTGGAGCGTCAACCCCTACATAGAAAGGTCAAGGGTTCAATTTCCTATCAGGGCACATACCTAGGTTAGGATATGGTTTTCAGTTGGGGTGCATAAGAGAGGCAACCAATTGATGTTTCCCTCTCACATCAATCCTCTCGCTCTCTCTCGCCCTTCTCGCTAAAAAAAGAAAAAAAAATCAATGAACATATTCTCAAGTGAAGATTAAATAAAAAAATAAGTATATTATTTTTAAAAATTTCAAACCTTTCTTCTTTTTTCTATTTCTCTCCCTTGTGGGAGTTAGTATAAATGATTTTTGACTATCTAGTGATGCCTACCACTAGATACCTATTATGTTTCTATTGAGAATGAGGCATGAAAATGTTCTCACCTCTCTTTATAATGCTGAAACGGACCACCAAAACTCTGTGACAGAGGATTAGCAATAAGGTTCTATAATGAATATTTGTCCTGTTTGCTGACATATTGAGCTCTATGTTTTGCAGACACTTCGCATTACCATCTACAACTGATGACTTGCAATAAAGTTGGCATTTGGCAGTATACATTTCTGTGTTCCTGTCAAGAGTTTTGCATTTATTGCTAGAAGGAAAAAAAAATACAAATAATGGGTATGGTGATAAGAATAATGAATGCAGGTAGAACCTTCACTATTTCAACCACCTTTCCAAGATCCTATTTGCAGGCTCCATAATACAAAACTATGAGATAGGACTTGGAGTGTATGGTTATGCAAGAAAAGGTGGATTTGAAGTTGATGCTGAGACCAAGGCTAGATAGAATTATGGACATAGGTGAGAAAGAGGGACTAAGAACAACTTTCTGGAGAGAGCTTTTTATCCTTTACTGTCCTGCATACAGTCAGTTGAGAAATATGATTATTCTTAGTCTGAAAGATACAGAATTAATTAATGCTCTCCTAATTATGTTAGATGACTTTTAAAAATAAGATATTTATGGAAAGCAAGTTTTTTTCTGTACTAGAAAATAGAGTAGACCTCTGTTTCATAATAAAATGATTATATTTTATTAAAGCCTTAACACAATTGGAAATTGGAAGTCAATCTTTAAGCTTTATTTTTTTCTATACCAACAGGAATAATTATCAATCATCTCTACATTTGCTAAATAGTTACTGTAAGCAAGCACTATACTAAACACTTTTTACATGTCACTCATTTAATCTTCACAACAATCTTATGGGATAGTAAGTAGTTTTTCCTGTTTTTCAAAGCAGGACGTCCAGGCATTGGTAAGGTGCAGTGATTCACCCGGGTGAGTTAATAAGTGGTGAAGCTTGAATTTGCACCCCGGCTGTCTGGCTCTTATGCTCTGGTCCCTCTCAGGCAGCTCTTTTCTGAATGATTATTATAAAGAAAAGGAAAGGCTCTCTGCTCCACCTCCCGCCTCCCTCCATTCCTTTGTGTTCTCCAGTAATCAGAGAATATGGTTAACGAATGGAAGGTTTCTACTTCTAATAAACTGACAAATATGTGCTGGCTACTGTTTGGGCTTAAGAAAGTAGCAGTGCTGTATAGCATAGAAACAACCTGATGTTCCTGTTGTTTTCAGACGCCAGATGTGGACTTCTGGATTATCCCCATTATTCAAGGTTTTGTGCAGATTGAAGAACTTGTGGTTAATTATAGTGAGTCTTCTGATGATGAGAAAAGCAGCCCAGAGACCCCACCTCAGGAGTCCACCTGTGTAGATGACATTCACCCACGGTTTCTAGTGGCTCTCATTTCACGTCGCAGTCGGCACAGAGCAGGTGAGTGGAGGGCTATACTAGCATGCAAATCAAATCCAGGTAAGAATGGAAAGAAAACCTGTGGGAGTGTTGAAATGCCACTGACAATATGGATTTGGAAACACAGTTTCAAAGTGCTCAGTCACTCTGTGATGTGATTGGGGACCAATTATTGGATAGAGGCAAATTGGGGAGAGCTAACAAAAGGAGAAAGAAGGGAGGTATATATAGAGAGAAGAGAAGAAAATCACTTGGGATGTGCTTCTAAAATATCATTGTGCCTGTTGACTGACTGCCTGCATCATAGTACTAAAACCTTCTGGAGTACTAGCACCTTTGGGAAACTGTTTTCTTTCAGTGCACAGGAGGTATGTTAACTTCAGCTTGTAAAAAATGATGTATACGGTTATGATTTGGGGTAAATTGATCCAGTTCTGCCTGGCAGTTGCACATTAGATCCCCAAGCCTATCCTGAAAGAAATTGATTTGTTTAACAAGCATAATGTAGTCAGACTACCTCTTTTTTAAATGTTGCTGATTTCTGTTTGATTTTTTTTTTTTAGGAATGCGCTATAAACGAAGAGGGGTGGATAAAAATGGAAATGTTGCAAATTATGTGGAGACTGAGCAGCTAATTCATGTTCATAATCATACCTTGTCATTTATTCAAACACGAGGCTCTGTGCCTGTATTTTGGAGTCAGGTTGGCTATCGATATAATCCAAGACCTCGGCTAGACAAGAGTAAGCATGTCAATTTGGTTTACGAATGATATCAGACAGAATATTAGTTTAAATATTAGATACTTTGTAGATTTGCTTTGCCAGAAACTTCATTCAAAACAATAACTTATACGGTGATATTTAGTCGAAAGTGATATAAACACAAGAGTAATGATGATTGTTGACAATTTAAGTAATTTAACAATAAAAAATTCCCCAACAATAGAGCAAAACAGCTTATTTCAAATTTTAAATTTTTGGTACTTTGAAGAATACTTTATTGGATATTTAATTTTGGAAAAGAGCAGATGAAGCCAATATTTGTAGAAGGAGGAAATATCTTAAGATGGCATCTACAAGATAAGATGTCTATTCAAATGCCTCACGTGAAATGTTTGTTACTATTGTTTTAACTATTGCGTATTTAATTTCTTTCAGTATTTTAACTTTAGCACTAGAATAGTTAGGTCAAGTCAATCTAATTAGATTACTGAATGAGGTTGATTTTGAAAATTGTTCACAGATATTTTTCTTGCAAAACTTAGTTTATATTTCTGAGAATTTGGTAAAACTTCAGTTTTTAATATCCTTGGTTTAGAGATGTTTTTATTTTATTTTTAGTTTTTTAATCCTCACCTGAGGATATTTTTCTATTTATCTTCAGAATAGAGTGGGAAGGAGGGAGCGTGTAAAAAACATTGACATGAGAGGGACACATCAACTGGTTGCCTCTAGCATGACCCCATCCAGGGCTGGGCACAAACTGCAACTGAAATACATGCCCTTGACTGGAATTGAACCCGCGACTCATTGGTCCATGGACCAAGGTTCTAACCACTGAGCAACCAACCAGGGCTGTTTTTATTTATTATTATAAACCACATGAAACATTTTCTGACAAGTGCTCTACAAATAATGTTATAATGTGACAATTTGTACTTTGTTTCAATTTAGTGAAATTGGGGGCGGGGAAAGAAATCAGATCTTTGGCTTAGCATTTCATTTTAAAATATTGATTTTAGAAAATCTTAGTTACATTTGGGCTGTCTATAAATTTTTTAAACATAAGAGTAAAAATGGAATGGACGCTAATTTCTGTCTTAAAAACGGGAAGGAAAAATAGATTTTGTATCACTTCTTTGTAGGTGAAAAGGAAACTGTTGCCTATTTCTGTGCCCACTTCGAAGAACAACTGAAAATTTACAAAAAACAGGTGGGCTTTGATCTGTGGTAGTAAATGTTGCTTCATGTTTAGAAAGATTATGTATCTGTTTCTTTAAATTTCATGAAAACAACAATGTACTACTATTCATAATTAAGCAAAATGGCATTTCTCATGAAGTTAAAGAACACATATAAGCTAAGAGTATTCTTAATATATTTTTAAGAAATATCATTGTCATCTACTTTAGACCATTTTTCTTTCTTTTAAAGTTTTTAAATCATTTTTATTTTTTAATTCGTTGCCTAAACCATTTTAGATAAGAGATTATTAGTCTACTATCAATTATTATGATTTAAGAAGTAGCTAGACTAGAGTAAGAAATGAAAGGCATCTTTCAGCACCATCCATATAGTTCTACCTCTTAGAAATAACAATTTGATATGTATCTTTCAGTATCTTTTTTCTCTGCCCACCTTTCTTATGTATTCATACACTCATGTAGGAATGTGATCATATAAACCAAAATCAGATCAAAACTACTAAATGAAATACAAGTTCAATAAGATGATCAGAGTTCAATACAGGACTGAGCTAGAACAGTCAGTAACTCTCTAATCCATTAGCAATGACTAGTCTGAATGTGTAATGCCATGGGATGCATTTTTCTTACAGCAACAAAAATAAAATAGGAATAAATAACCTAAAAATGTAATCAACATACAAAAAAGATATGGTGGTGGTGGCAGGGTGGGAGAATTACTAAAGAACACAAAAGAAAATCTGAATAAATGGAGTGAAAATACCATATTCTTAGAAGAAAGTCTCAGTATTCAATAGATTTCTGTTCTTCCAAAATTAATATATAAATTTTGTGCAATCCCAAAGAAAGTTCCAGCAGAGAAATAAAAAAAAAAAAAAACCCATATGAATGAAAAAAAACTATAAAGTTTAATAATAAGAGATGAAGACAGGTATGTGGGGAAATGAGAACTCTCACTCGTTAGAGGGAGCATAAGTTGGTATAGCCATTGTGAATGGTATTAGCAATCAAAATAAAATATACTCTATTGTATCAGTAATTTTGCTTCTGATATGTATCCTACATACCATATACAAAAATCGGTTCCAGATGGCTTTGGGTTTAAATGTGTAAAGTTAAACAAAAACCTTTTATTATTTTTTTTATCCTTACCCAAGGACATTTTTGCATTTATCTTCAGATAGAGCAGGAGGGAGAGAAGGAGGAAGAGAGAGAGAGAAACATCAACGTGAGAGAGACACATTGAGTGGTTGCCACCCACATGACCCCAACCAGGGCCAGGGACAAACTGCAACCAAGGTATATGCCCTTAGTGGGAACCAAACCCGGGACTCTCTCGTCCATGGACCAACGCTCTAACTGCTGAGCCAAACCGGCCAAGGCAACAAAAACCTTTTAGAGGAAAATACAGAATATTTTTTTGACCTTGGGTCTTAAACTGGACTTAAAAAGCACTAATAATATGGAAAAATTTGATAAAACGGACCTTACTAAATTTTTATTAGGTTTTTAATTCTTGAAACTTATTCATAAATATTAAATACTATTATAAATGTTATAAATATTATTTATTAAAATAAATAAGACTTTAAAAGCACCAACTATAAAGAAAATTTGATAAATTTGACTTTACTAAAATAGCTTCTGATTATTAAAGGCATCAGTAAGAGAATGAAAAGGCAATTCTCAAAGTGGGAGAAGTACACTGTATAAAAAAAAAAACTCATATAAATCTATAAAAAAGATGTACAATTCAAAAGAAAACTGGACAAAAGACCTGAATAGACTCTTCATAAAAACGGATATCCAAGAGGCCAATAAAGATATAAAAGGTGTGTCTGGCCGGTGTGGCTCGATCCATGCACCAAGAGGTTGCCAGTTTGATTCCTGGTCAGGGCACATGTCCAGGTTATGGGCCCGATCCCCAGTGGAGGGCATGCAGGAGGCAGCCAATTGATGTTCTTGCTCATGGATGTTTCTATCTCTATCTCCCTCTCACTTCCTCTCTCTCTAAAATCAATAAAGGAAAAAAATATACATAAAAGGTGCTCCACTTCATTAATCATCAGGGAAATGCAAACTAAAGCCACTGTACACACACCAGAATGGCTTAAATAAAAAGATGTGAAATACCAAGTTTTGTCAAGGATGTGGAGCAACTGGAACTCTTCTTTTAAAAATCCTCACCTGAGGATATTTTTCTATCTATCTTCAAATAGAGTGAGAGGGAGGGAGAGAGGGGTTGGGGAGGAGAGACAGACAGACAGATACTGACTCGGCAGGGACACATCTACTGGTTGCCTCCCGCAAGACTCCACCAGGGCTGGGGATGAACTACAACCGAGGTGCGTGCCTTGACAGTAATCGAACCCAGAACTCATTGGGACACAGGCTGACAATTTAACCACTGAGCCAAACTGGCCAGGGCGCAACTGAAACTCTTTAAAAATCTCCCTGAGAGAAATGTCAAGGATGCGTGCATAGGAACATTCATTGCACTCTAAAAACAACCTAATTGTTCATCAGGAGGTCAGTGGGTAAAGTATGGCACGTCTGAATGTAAAATACAAATGCTTAACAATGATAAGGTAGATAGATCTGTGTGCTAATAACGTGGAAAGATCTTAAAATCACATCATGGAATGAGAAAAGAAAAGTGTATAATATTGTATGGTATGTTACTTCTTAAAAAAATCCCCCCAAACAGAATCGTGTCATTTATATACACTATATGTACCTCTCTTCCATATTTGTATATTCTAACACATATATGGCATGTACATTTATTTTTTATTTATTTAATCCTCACCTGAGGACATTTTTCCATTTTTTTATTCAGACAGAGTGGGAGAGAGAGACAGGAAGAGAGAGAGAGAGAAACATCGACGTGAAAGGGACACATCGAGTGGCCGCCGCCTGCATGACCAACCAGCAGGGCTGGGGACAAACTGCAGCTGAGGTACATGCCCTTAGCGGGAACCGAACCCAGGTCTCTGTGGACCGCAGGCCGACGCTCTAACCGCTGAGCCAAACTGGCCAGGGCATGGCAGGTACATTTATATAGAAATGCATTTATGTGGACAGAAAGGGTGCATGTGCCCTGACTGGGAATCGAACCGGTGACCTCTTGGTGCATGGGTCAATGCTCAAACACTGAGCCGCACCGGCTGGACCGTACCACAGTTTTAATTGCTATAGATTTAGAGTATGTTTTGCTTTTCAATGGGAAAAAGTCCTCCTTTATTATTTTTAGCTTTCAAATATTTTCTACATATTTACTCTTCCAGATGAACTTTAGAATTAACTTGTCAAATCCATAGAAAGATCCTGATCAATTTTTTTTTGTTTTTTAATCCTCACCCGAGGACACTTTTCCATATTTTCTTCAGATAGAGTGGAAGAGAGAGAGAGAGAGAAACATTGACGTGAAAGGGACACATTGAGTGGCTGCCACCCGCACGACCCAACCAGGGCCGGGGACAAACTGCAACAGAGGTACGTGCCCTTAGCAGGAACTGAACCTGGGTCTCTCTGGATCGCAGGCTGACGCTCTAACCACTGAGCCAAACCGGCCAGGGCCTGATCAGTTTTTTATTGTGGTTGTTAAGTATATGGATTAATCTGGGGACACTTGACATCTTTACAATATTGCCATCTAGCACCATGGTATGTCTCTTCATTTATTCAGGTTTTGTTTTATGTATTTCAGCAAAGTTATATAGTGTCCAATATGTAGGTCTTGTATATTTCCTTTAAAACTATTCTATATATTTGCAAGATTTGCTATTATAAAGGACCTTGTTTTTATATGTGTTCTAGTTGGTTACTGCAAATGTATAAAGTATAAAAAAGCTATTCATGCCATTGATTTAAGCAGTTTCATAAACCTAAATGTAACAAATGAAAATCAATTTTATAGGGGAAAAAAATTGATGCTTGAGTGCAAAGCTATAAAATATTTCTAAATCATAATTCCAAATAAATCACATTATGATTCTAACATCTGATTAAACTGAACCCCCCCCCCCCTTACTCTTACAGGTTATTATTAACTTGGTAGACCAGGCAGGAAGAGAGAAAATTATTGGGGATGCTTACCTAAAGCAGGTGTTGCTGTTTAACAACTCACACCTCACTTATGTTTCATTTGACTTCCATGAGCACTGGTAAGATGGCTTCCTGCGATGAGTTTTGATCAGTTCTAATGGTTATGGTAGATGCTGCCACAGGGACCTAAGTCTTTCTTTATTGGAAAGAAAAATTTATTCTTTTATTCATTGTTGGAAAGGGAAGGGGTGTCATTTTGTTTTAATATTTGTATGGATTTTATTTTGGCTAGAAATTAATTTATAGTCTTTCTGTTCCAAAATAACTTGGAGACTTAGAATTCCATTTTTCCTTTTATCATTCAATTAAGGAATTTCTGGAGTGTTACCTTTCTGCTTGAGCTTGAGCCTGGCAGAAGTAATAGAGGCCCCTTACTTAATAAAAATCATCCTGCTGGCTCATTTTCATAATCTACTAGTAACACTTCTTTCTCTGTGGATAAACTTCACTAGAATTTACTCTGGAAAATCAACAATTAGTGAACCATTTTGATGATAACTTGTGTGTACTCTGAAAGCAAGGTTCTCTCTTTATGACTCTAACTCACAACCCTAACTCTAACTTGGGTTCATTTAACTAAGTGTTGAAAATTTGGTGAGGAGAGAAGTTTTTGATATCTTTGTGTGTCGTTATATTCTTAAGTATATTTTCTTCCACAGTGTAGATTAGCTATAAACATTTATGTAATTGCCTATATAAATTATAATAGTGTTAACTTCATCATCTGAAAGTAATAATTTTCTTTAATTTTTTCAAGCTACCTTAAATACCATATCTTAAGTTAAAGGCTTTTTTTCTTTATTTTGGCTTGTATTTTAGCCGAGGAATGAAGTTTGAGAATGTTCAAACACTAACAGATGCCATTTATGACATTATTCTTGACATGAAGTGGTGTTGGTATGTATTTCTTATTTCATAAGAAGTCAGTTTGACAAACTCTTGATCTGTGAAACCATGTGTATTTGTTTTGTACCACTAAGCATTAAAATAATTGCAGTAAGCTGAGAAAGCATTTTTGTTTTTCTTGTTTTGCTTCCCAATACCTATTCTCCTTTTAAGAGCAGGTTAGTCATTGGGCATTGTTATCTTGGAACAAGGAAGAGGTGTTGGATGGTTGGGCAAAGTGAAGTGAAATGCCCTATGACTGTTCTTTAATTCATTCTAATGCTTCATAGTCTAATTTTCTTTCTTTTCTTTCTTGCTATCCATAGCATGGAAGGAAGGCTTAGATGTACCTGGTCTCAGTTTTAGGCATTGAAAATTATCAGAGGATAATGATTCTCAGACAGTAGGAGGGAGAGGCAGGAAGAAGAAACTGGCCTGAAGGACAGAACAGAACTTTCTTTTTAAAAATCAAAATTTTTTATTTTATTAATTTTGTTTTTTAAAGGGAGAGAAAGGGAGAAGGAGAGAGATAGAAACATCAATGAGAGAGAACATCGATTGGCCACCTCCTGCACGCCTCCCACTGAGGATTGGGCCCACAACCTGGGCATGTGCCCTGACCTCTTGGTGCATGGGTTGACGCTCATCCACTGAGTCACACCATCCGGGCCAGAACAGAACTTTCTATTAGGCTTTAAGGCCACAGGTGGCCAGAGAAATGAGATGAGCAAGGCGTGCTGCACGACTCATTAGGTGGTAAAGTGCATGAGTCTGTTCAAGCTCATTTAGATGCATTACTTCTTGGATCCCAAAACGAGGTACAGGATGGTGTTTTAAAATACCTTTTTGTTTTAAATGTGCAGATTAAGTATAACTCGGGGTTGTGTCAGCTCTGCCTAGTAGTTGTGTGACTTGGGGCAAGTGACTCTTTCTGCACTTCAGTTTGTTCTTTTCAAAATGGGGATAGTAATATCTTCCTTGTTGAGTTATTATTTAAATTAGCAGTGTCTACAAAGGACTCAGTAATGCCTGCCACATAATGATATTCCAGGCAAACTGATAACCAGTGCTGCTGTCCTTATTGTTAAACTTTAAAGAATTGTGGTTTTTGAAAAACATGCTGTGAAATAATTCCATATTGTTTTTCAAAAGGGTTGATCAAGCTGGGGTAATATGTAAACAAGAAGGGATTTTTCGAGTTAATTGCATGGACTGCCTGGATCGCACCAACGTGGTTCAAGCTGCTATTGCACGAGTCGTCATGGAGCAGCAGGTATTTGGAGTCTTTTGGATTGTAAATATTCATTTTTAATTTTAAATTTTAAATTGATCTTTATTGTTGAAAGTATTACAGATGCCCCTCCTTCCCCCCCCATTAACACCCCCCTCCCCTCTCTCACCCTGACCCCCACCTTCCGCCTTCACTGCACTGTTGGCTTTAATTTTTTCAAGTGTAAACAAATAACTAAAATCTTTGTTCTTTAGAAAATGCAAACATCCTTGTTGCATTAAAACCTGGAAAGCACAACCTCTACTAGAAATAACTTGAGCCCTGGCCGGTTTGGCTCAGCTGTTAAAGCGTTGGCCCGAGGACCAAAGAGTCGTGGGTTCAATTCCCGGTCAAGGGCACGTTCCTCAGTTGCAGGTTCGATCCCTGGCCATGGTTAGGGTTGTACGGGAGGCAACCAGTCTTGTGTCTTTCACATTGATGTTTCTCTCTCTCCCTCTCCCTGTCTCCCCTTCCTTCCCTCCCTTCCTCCTTCCCACTCTATTAAAAATCAATAGAATAATATCCTCAGGTGAAGATTAGAAATAACTTGAATCAAGTGGCATTTTCTTAAGTACTCATTTCAAAATGTGAGGCCCCGTATTTTAAAATTTATTGAGTGGGACTATATGGTCATTTACCTTTGTTACCTCATTTCTAAATCTTTTCCTCTGTATTTGGAGCTGGAGGTCTGTACATTTCATTTTTGCTCAGCCAGCTGGTTTCATGTCAGGCTCTGCCAATAGTGGGCACCAAAGGAACATCATGAGACTAGAAGAGAAAAAAGGATAAGCTTCCTCACCTGTGTTACATTTCTGTCAGCAGTGCCATCAATGGGGCTATTGGTTCCTTTGGCACCACAGAACCAGCCTCTTACCGTTATGGCCTAGTTGGTGGCAACTGCTTCCTATAGTCATATGTCTATTACCCATGTCCCCTTTTAGATCTTTTGGCCCTCTAACACCTGAGTAATAAATTCAAAGGTGGGAATTCCTAGCATGGTTTCTAGGGTTTTTTTGTTTGTTTGTTTTTTACATTTATCTTCAGATAGAGTGGGAGGAGGGGAGAGAGAAACATCAATGTGAGAGAGACACATCGATTGGTTGCCACCTGCACCACCCCAACCAGGGCTGGGGACAAACTGCAACGAAGGTACATGCCCTTGGCTGGAATCGAACCTGGGACTCTTTGGTCCATGGGCTGATGCTCTAACCACTGAGCAAAACTGGCCAGGGCTCTAGGTCTGTTTTTTAGAACCTGGTGACTATCTTTTGAGGATGTGAGTCTGTTCCTTCTAATATCTTATTGAAACAGTCAGGCTTTTTAGTTCAAGCCCCGGCTCTTCCACATACTGGGTGTTGACCCCATGTAAAGAACTTAACCTCTCCAAACTTCTATCTCCTCACCTTTAAAATGTAGTAATAAGCATATTGATTGTAAAGGGTTCTTATGAGGAGTAAATGAGATACATTTAAAAAAAATGTATTTTATTGATATGTACACTTTTTTTTTTTTTTAGAGAGAGAAACATCAATGTGAGAGCGAAATATAGATTGGCTGCCTCCTACATGCCCCCTACTGAGGATCAAGCCTGAAACCTGGGTATGTGCCCTGACTAGGAATTGAACTGGGACCTCTCAATTCATGAGATGCTGCTCAACCCACCTAGCCACACCAGCCAAGCTAAATGAGATAATTTTAACAAGGTCGTGGGCCCTGGCTGGTGTGGCTTGGTTGTTGGTTGGAACGTTGTCCCGTACAACGAAAGGTCGCAGGTTCAATTCCCGGTCAGGCCACATACCCAGGTTGCAGGTTTATCCCGGTCAGGTGCGTATAGGAGGCAACCAATTAATGTTTTCTCTCTCACATCAATGTTTTTTTTTCTCTCTCTCTTTCCCCCCTCTCCCTTTCTTTCTTTCTAAAATCAATAAAAACATGTCCTCGAGTATAGATAAAAAAATAATAATAATGGATAAAATAAAAGCTTTTGGAGCCCTAGCACCAAGTTAATATTTATTGGGCAATTAGTGCTCTGCTACTATTAATATTATTATTGTTTCAATGTGCTTTTTTGACAGTTTCACTTCATAGGCATGTTTAAAACAAATACAAAATATAATATGAGCATGCACATTAAAAATTACACTAAACACCATACATATTTTATTCTACTTTTTCACCTGTAGCAATTTATAAAATTATCTCTCAAGTGGTGCTTTATTTTTGAAAATGTCTGAAAACACCATTACCATTTCTTTTATTTAAGGATCCTAAATTGTATATGAACATAATTTATCCTTTTTCTGCATTATTATTTTATGCTATGGTGTCCTGGTTTATATGTAATTAATCCACCTGTGTGTTCATTTTAGCTGAAGAAATTAGGTGTGATGCCCCCAGAGCAGCCACTACCAGTGAAATGCAATCGGATCTATCAAATAATGTGGGCCAACAATGGTGACTCCATTAGCAGACAGTATGCTGGGACAGCTGCTCTGAAGGTAAATACCTGCAGCAAGCATTTGTGGATCTTTCTGTGGGACACAGAATGTGGTTTAAAACCACTTTTGTTTTTGAGAGAAAGGCATGTCGGCTACAGGTGGTAACTAACTCCTTTTTGGAATGTTTGGCTAAGGCAGGGGTCACACTCATATTTTTTTTCTGGGGCCAGGTAATGTGACTCAAAGAAGCCATCCATTAGATTAAAGGGAGAGATGGGGCTATGTGGACCTAAGGAAGAGCATATGTTGTCTCAGAAGGGTGCAGTTCTGCTGCTTCCTTATGGGGATGGAGACTCGGTGTTTCCAGATCTTTCTGTTTTTTAGGGGAGTTTAGGAATCTGGAATTTTGTGAAATATTTGGTTTTTAAAACTTTATATAGACAAAACAAAATGTGTCTGTTGTGATGGGATTTGGTCCCTAGCACGATTATTTTTCTCCTAAATTTGTATCTCCATCCTGCCTCTTATTAGCTCTGTTACTTTGGGCAAGTCACTTAACCTCTTTCTCAACAGGAGAATACACAGTCTTTCTTTTTTTCTTTCAGAGAGAGAGGAAGAGAGAGATAGAAATATCGATGTGAGAAACATCAATTGGCTGCCTCCTGCACACCCCCTACTGGGGATTGAGCCTGCAACCCAGGCATGTACCCTGACCTGGAATCAAACCAGGACCTCTCAGTCTGGGACGATGCTCAATCCACTCAGCCACACTGGCTGGGCGGGAATACACATTCTTCAGAAGCACACGTGGAACGTTTTCCAGGATAGATCATATGTTAGGCCACAAAACATGTCTCAACAAGTTCACAAAGACAGAAATTGTGTAATTTTTTTTTTTTACAATAGTGGTATGGGATTAGAAATCAATAACAGGAGGAAAGTTGGAAAATTCACAAATATGTGGAAATTACACTCCTGAACAATCAAGGGGATACCACAGAAATACATAGGATCATGAGACTATACTAAACAATTATATAAGAACAAATTGGACAAGTTAGAAGAAATAGATAAATTCTTAGAAACAGTACAACCTACCAAGACTGAATTATGAAGAAACAGAAAATCTGAGTAGACTAGTGAGTAAGAAGATTGAATCATTAAGCAAAAACCTCTCAACAATGAAAAGTCCAGGACCAGATGGTTTCACTAGTGAATTCTACCAAACATTTAAAGAATTAATGCTAATGCTCCTCATATTCTTCCAAAACACAGAATAGGAGGGAACATTCCCAAACTCAGATAAGAACACTACAAGGAAATAAAATTACAGGCCAATATCCCTAATGAATATGGATGAAAAAATTCTCAACAAAATATTAACAAACCAAATTTAACAGGATCATACACCATGATCACGTGGGATTTATCTATGGGATGCAAGGATGGTTCAACATATGGAATTCGATAAATGTGACATCCTGCATTAATAGAATGAAAGGTAAAAATCATATAATCTAATGGATGCAGAAAAAGCATTTGACAAAATTCAACATACTTTTATGATAAAAATTCAACAAATTGGGTATAGAAGAAACATAACATAATAAAGGGCGTATATGACACAAACCCACGGCTAGCAGCATATTCAATGGTGAAAAGTTAAAAGCTTTTCCTTTAAAATCAGGAATAAGACCATGGTGCCCACTGTCACCACTCCTATTCATCATAGTTTGTTCTGGCTAGAACTTCCCGTACTATCAGGGAAGGGAAATAGAAAGCATCCATATTGGAAAGGAAGAAGTGAATTTGTCTTTGTTTGTAGATGACATGATAGTATATTTAGAAAATCCTAAAAACACTCCACCAGAAAACTGTTAGAACTAATGAGTTCAGTAAAGTTGCAGAATATAAATTAACATACAAAAATTAGTTCTGCTTCTATACACTAACAACAAACTATCTGATAAAAACTATAATAACCCCATTTACAGTAACATCAAAAACAGTAAAATATTTAGGAATAAAATTAACCAAGAATGTGAAAATCTGTACACTGAAAACTGTAAGACATTGGTGAAAGAAACAGAGGACATAAATAAATGGGAAGATAACTTGTGTTCATGGATCAAAAAAATATTCTAAAATTTTTTATGCTACCCGAAGCCATCTATAGATTCATTGCAACCCTATCAAAGTTCTAGTGGCATTTTTCACAGAAATAGAAAAAGGCAATTCTAATGTTTGTATGGAACCATGAAACCTCTGATAGCCAAAGCAATACTGAGAAAGAAGAACAAAGCTGGAGGCATAACACTCCCTGATTCCAAACCACAATAGAAAACTATAGTAATAGTAATCAAAACAGTATGGCATCATTATAAAAACAGACAAATAGACCAATGGAATTGAACCCAGAGCCCAGAAATAAATCCACACATATACAGTCAATGACGACTGTTGTACAGCTAGTACAATCTGTTATGAGTAAATTCTGGTGATAATATTTGACAAGGGTATCAACAATACTTAATGGGGAAAGAGGGTAGTCTCTTCAATAAATGGTGCTAGAGCCCTGGCCGGTTTGGCTCAGCGGTTAGAGCGTCCGCCTGCGGTCCGGAGAGACCCGGGTTTGGTTCCCGCTAAGGGCATGTACCTCGGTTGCAGTTTGTCCCCGGCCCTGGTGGGTCGTGCGGGTGGCAGCCACTCGATGTGTCCCTTTCACGTCGATGTTTCCCTCTCTCTCTCTCTTCCTCTCTCTCCCTCCCACTCTATCTGTACAAAAAATGGAAAAATGTCCTCGGGTGAGGATTAAAAAAAATAAAATAAAATAAAATAAATGGTGCTAGAAAAATGGGATATTCACATGCAAAAAAATTAAATTGGCTCTGTCTTATAAAAAATTAACTCAAAATGAATTAAAGACTTCAGTGTAAGACCTGAAACTTTATGGTTTACTCCTATAAGAAAACATAGGGAAAATGCTTCATGACATTTGTCTTGGCAATAATTTTTTAGATGTGATTCCAAAAACATGAACAAGAAAAGTAAATAAGTGGGTAGGGCTACATCAGACAAAAAAGTTTCAGCACAGCAAAAAAAAAAAGAAGAAAAGAAAAAAAGAAAAGACAACCTATAGAATGGGAGAAAATATTTGCAAACCATATATTGATAAGGAATTAATATCCACAACATGTAAGGAACTCATACAACTTAATAGCAAAAAAAAAAAAAAATCTATTTTAAAAGTAGGTAAAGGGCCTAACATTTTTCCAAAGAAGATATACAAATGGCCAACAGGTGCATGCATAGGTGTTCAATATCAGTAATCATCAGGGAAATGCAAATCAAAACCACAGTGTAATGTCACTTCATCCTGTTAGACTGGATGTTATCAAAAACTAAGAGACAAGCCCGGCAGGTGTGGCTCAGTGATTGTCAACCCATGCACCAAGAGGTCGCCAGTTTGATTCCTGGTCAGGGCACATGCCCAGGTTGTGGGCCAAATTCCCAGTGGGGGGCATGCAGGAGGTGGGCAGTTGATGTTCTTTCTCATTGATGTTTCTAACTATCTCCCCCTCTACCTTCCTCTCTCTCTAAAAAATCAATGAAGAAAAAAAAAAAAGATAAGAGACAAGTGTTGACAAAGATGTGGAGAAAAGGTAACCCTTGTACATTGTTGGTGTGGATGTAAGTTGGCATAGCCATTATGGAAAACAGTATGGAAGTTCCTCAAAAAACTAAAAACAGAACTACCATATGATCCAACAATTCCATTTATGGGTATATATCTGAAGGAAATGAAATCACTATTTTGAAGAGATATCTGCACTCCCATGTTCATTGCAGCATTATTCACAACAGTGAAGACACAGAAACAACCTAAGTGTTCAATGATAAATGAATGACTAAAGAAAATGTGTGTGTGTGTGTGTAATGGAACATTATTCATCCATGAAAAAGAAGGGAATCCTGCCATTTGCAACAACATAGATGAACCTTGAGGGCATTATGTTTAAGAGAAATAAGTCAGATAGAGGAAGACAAATGCTATATGATCTCATTTATTTGTGGAATCTGAAAAAGTCAAACTTCTAGAAATGGAGAATTGCTTGGTGATTACAAGGGTCTGGGGGAAATGGAAGAGGAGATATTGTTCAAAAGGTACAAACTGAATAAGTTTTGGGGATCTAATGTACAGCACGGTAACTATAGTTAAAAATAATGTATAATTGAAATTTGCTAAGAAAATAGATCTTAAGTGTTCTCAACACACACACACACACACACACACACACACACACACACGGGAATTATGTGAGGTGATAGCTGTGTTAACTAACCCTATGTGTGTATATACACACACATACATATATATACACACACACATACATATTTCAAGTGATCATATGGTACACCCTAAATTTATACTATGCTACTTGTCAACTATATCTCAGTAAAGCTGGGAAAAAAGAGAAATATTTTTTCCTTTGATAGTAAACTTCTTCGGACTCAACATTCATGTCTCTCTCATCTGTAATAGATTCTTATTTAATTACTATTTCCTGTGAATGACTCAACTAGTTGGCAATATCTTCTTCCAAAATTGTCGGTGTTAGGACAAGGTCTGATTCTGAGATGGCCTTGGATAAAAATAGTGGAGTCGGGATGGGGAAAAAAGGAACTATGCTTTCCTTGCCTTAAATTTAAGTCACTACCTCTCTAGGGACTTGCTCTGACACATTTGTTGTGAAAAGCAAGAAAAAAAAAACAATTTAAATCCTCGTTGGCTCATTCTACAGGGATTATAATGTGCAGCAAGGTACAGAAACCTGCTCTCTCTGTACATCCACATATCTGCATACACAGGTCACATCTCATTGTAATAAACTCTAGGGAGCTATCAACATTTTCCTGCATCGGAAATTTGTGGTTTTTCAATATCATAGCAAGTTGAGGCTTGAAAACTTTGTTTTGTTGTTTGTTATGTAATAAATTTTGACCTGTAAATTCTCGAAATTCTATAGATTGCTAAGAACGGCTTTACCCTATAGCACCATTTTACTGAAGACTTGCTACAAATAGCATGTTTTAATTATTTGATATGCTTGGGTCAGAGTCAAATACTAGTAGATACTTTAATTTAACTATATTATTTGGAAATTATAAAAGCCTAAAGAATTCTAATCTTGAAAGCCCACAATGACTTTGAGAACATTCTTGTGTTTAAATAAATTGTCAAAATGACTTTTTCTTTGACAGGGTGACTTCACAAGGACAGGAGAAAGGAAATTAGCAGGAGTTATGAAAGATGGTGTTAACTCAGCAAATAGGTATTACCTGAATCGATTTAAGGATGCTTATAGGCAAGCTGTCATAGGTAAGGAACGTAAAAGCCTTTCTTTCTTTAAAATTTGTTATTCCGCTCTGGCCAGCTTGGCTCAACAGTTAGAGCATTGGCCCACGGGCCAGAGAGTCCCGGGTTCGTTTCCTGCTAAGGGCATGTACCTTGGTTGCAGTTTGTCCCCGGCCCCGGTTGAGGTCGTGTGGGTGGCAACCACTCAATGTGTCTCTCTCACATTAATGTTTCTCTCTCACTCTCTTCCCCCCTCTCTCCTTCCTGTTTTATCTGAAGATAAATGCAGAAGTGTCCTCGGGTGAGAATAAAAAATGAAATAAAATATATAAAAAATAAATAAAATAAAATTTGTTATTCCTTCTGTGACTGTTTTGTAGAAACCAATGTTATTAACATAGTTCATATATTTTATAATATACTTGTGCTTCTATGTTGAGTATCTTACCCAGTGAATCAAATTCAAATATTTAGATTAGAACTTGACAAATTTTTTAGGCTGGAGCAACACAAGAAACCACTCATTTCCATACATGTTTGTCAGTTTGCTGTTCATGTAACAGAAGGCAGGGTTGAGGCTCTTGGAGTATGAAATCAACATCAGCAGCCCAGATGGTGTGGCTCAGTGGAATGAGTGTCATCCCATGGACTGAGAGGTCCCGGGTTGATTCTGGGTCAGGGAACATGCCTGGGTTGTGGGCTCCAGTAGGGGGTCTGCAGGAGGCAACTGATGGATGTTGCTCTCTCAAAAAAAAAAAAAAAATTGATGAAAACAAAACAAAAAATCCTCACCAATTGAAAACTCCATATTCTATTTGTTTTTCCCTTACTTAAGACTGAGAGATGTCACACAATAATTTTTTTCTCTCCATGACATTTACCATATGTTCTTGCTGTGGACAAAAACATCATCCTTTCTTTCCATAGGCATGATTTAATATGATACTGGAGTATCAGATTAAGAGTTTATCCTAACCTGTTTATATCTCTCTCCCTCTCCCTTCCTCTCTCTCTCTTTCTAATAGAGAGAGAGAGAAAGAGAGAGAGAAAGAAAGAAAAAGTTTATCCTAATCAATTCCTTTTTTTTTTACCCTTACCTGAGGATATTTTTCTGTTTATCTTCAGGTAGAGAGAGAGGAAGAGAAAGGGAGAGAGAACCATCAACGTGAGAGGGACACATTGACTGGTTGCCTCCCGCATGACCCCAACCAGGGCCAGGGACGAACTGCGACCTAGGTACATGCCCTTGGCTGGAATCGAACCCTGAAGTCATTGGTTCACAGGCCAATGCTCTACCTCTGAGCCAAACTGGCCAGGGCCTAACTAATTCTTAATCATTTTTTTAGAAGAGCAAATGGAGGGTAGATTGCCCAGTTGAATTCATGCTTTGGCATTTTAAAATTTAATTTTCATTAAAATATTACCTTATATAATTAACGTAAATGTAGAGTGTTTTGGATTAGAACCAAATGTAACACCTTATCCTATGGTCTCTGAGAATATATTTTTAAATCCTATTTTTTAGCCTGGCCGGTGTAGCTCAGTGGTTGAGCATCAACCCATGCACCAAGAGGTCGCCGGTTCAATTCCCGGTCAGGGCACATGCCCAGGGTGTGGGCCAAATCCCCAGTGGGGGGCATGCAGGAGGTGGCCAGTGGATGTTCTCTCTCATTGATGTTTCTATCTCTCTCTCCCTCTCCCTTTCTCCCTCTCCAAAATTAAAGAAAAAAATAAATAAATCCTATTTTTTAATTTGATATTTATCAAACATAAAATAGTAGGGCCTAGACACAGGCCAGTTAGGAATTTGAGAAGTCTGGTGTAAAGAAGTTTGGTTCATTTGCCATAGTTAGGGTGTGTGCTGACTGGAAAACTGGATTTTAACAGTTTATTAGAGGAAAAATAAAATTCCTTCCTTCCGTTGGTTTATCTTGTGACTCAGTTATGTCCTTGAGGACTCAGGTTCTGTCCCTCTCAGTTTGACCATACATAGCATCAACTCATCCGAATCCTCACACTGGATCTCTTCAAGGTTGTGACAGAGAGGCCAGTAACAGTCTGGGCTATTGCTTCCCCTTGTAGGGCTAGTGGTGGCAGATCTCTCCCAGAGGCCTCCTCCAGTCTAATTGTCCCAAACAACTACAGGGAATGGGGTTATAATGATTTGTTCAAGTTTGAGCCACTGCCATACTAGGAAGAAGTTAGCTTGTCTATTCAGATCCTTTGCCCATTTGAAAATGGGTTTCTTTGTCTTTTTATTGAGTTGTAGGAATTCTTTAGATATTCTGGATACAAGTCTCTTATCAGATAGGTGATTTATAAATATTCTTTTCCATTCTGTGCATCGTCTTTTCACTATCATGTTATTTCCCTTTGAAACACAAAAGTTTTTCATTTTAATGATGTTCAGGTTATCTATTTTTTCTTTGGTCATTTGTGATTTTAGTGTCCTAACTCCCCCTGCCTCCCAATATGTCTAATCTAAGGCCTCAAAGATTTACTCCTGTTTTCTTATAAGCGTTTTATGGTTTAAGTCTTCATTCATTCTCTCTCTCTCTCTCTCTCTCTCTCTCTCTCTCTCTTTTAATGTATTAGAAAAATAAGATGATGATAGATATTAACACTTTCTACTCTAGATTTGATGCAAGGCATTCCAGTGACAGAAGATCTTTATTCCATATTTAACAAGGAGAAAGAGCATGAAGCTTTGCATAAGGAAAATCAGAGAAGTCACCAGGAACTAATTAGCCAGCTCTTACAAAGTTACATGAAGTTACTGCTGCCTGATGATGAAAAGTTCCATGGGGGCTGGGCCCTTATTGACTGTGACCCCAGGTGAGTTGGAGTGGTATCCTGGTAACTAATGTGCTTACATTTCTGATGTTGTTAAGTTTTTCGGTAATTAACACTAGGACTTGTCCATGAAGCTGTGGGTATGAATGCATGGTGCATGGCAGTTTTCATATACAGGGCTGGTACTAAGGCAAGCCGATTGAGGTACTCGTCTTTGGTGCATAATTAAGTGGGCACTACAAAACTCAGTAAGAAGAAATATTTTAATGTAATATTTTATATAAAAAAATTGTAAGCCCTGGCCGGTTTGGCTCAGCGGTTAGAGCGTCGGCCTGCGGTCCTGAGAGACCCGGGTTCGGTTCCCGCTAAGGGCGCGTACCTCGGTTGCAGTTTGTCCCCGGCCCTGGTCGGTTGTGCGGGTGGCAACCACTCGATGTGTTCCTTTCACATCGATGTTTCTCTCTCTCTCTGTTCCTCTCTCTCCCTCCCACTCTACCTGAACAAAAAATGGAAAAATGTCCTCGGGTGAGGATAAAAAAAAAAAATGTAAAACTATGGTTTGCAGCTGGCTTTGTGGGTTTCCCCCCTTCAGAATCTAGGTTTACTGTATTAACAAACATAACTCAGTGCAGCAAATGGTACAGTGATGCTGGATACTTTGGTTGGGGGTAAAGGGGTCCTGACCTCTCATAAAATAAATAGGTCAACTAATACTTAAACTTTTTTTTTTTAAACCTCACCTGAGGATATTTTTTCCACTGAGTTTCAGATAGAGTAGGAGGGAGGGGGAGAAGGGAAGAAGCAGGGAGGGGGGGCGGGGAGAGAGAGAGAGAGAGAAAGAGAATCATCAATGTGGGAGAGACACATTGATCGGCTGCCTCCCACATGACCCCAAACAGGGCTGGGGATCGAACCTCAACAGATGTACATGCCCTCAACTGGAATTGAACCCACAACTCTTTGGTCCGCGGGCTGACGCTCTAACTGCTGAAGCCAAACTGGCCAGGGCTTAACTTTTTTTTTAACAAAATCATTCAATTATAATCTTCATGATTATGAATTAGAAACATTTCAGAACATTCTAGATCAAGCTCTGAGAATAAAAGGCTCTATTTAGATTTTATCTTATTTTGTATTTATTGTCTTTTTTTTCTTTATTGATTTTAGAGAGAGAAACATCGATGAGAGAGAACATTGATTGGCTGCCTCCTGCATGCCCTCCACTGGAGATCGGGCCCACAAACTAGGCTTATGCCCTGACCAGTAATCGAACTGGCAACCTCTAGGTGCATGGATCAACGCTCAACCATTGAGCCACACCAGCTGCGCTATTTATTGTCTTTTTAATAAAAGGGGCATAAAGCAAGCTAGAAAGAACAATGAATGCAAAGTATTATTTACATATATTAAAATGAATTTTATAATCATTGACTATAGGTTCATAGGGAAACTTTCCATGATTTGATAATTTCATGGATTATTTCACTTTAGTAGTCAGTACTATATGTATGTATGCAATTTGCCGACTCTTAAAATGAGATTTTTCTCACATACAACTTAGCAGAAAATTTCTGTGCTCTTATAAGCCATTTGGTAAAGATTTTTTGATTCATGTACCTTAGGTTTTTTTCCCCTAATAGCAGTCCAACTTAATCCAGCACCAAAAAAAGGGGGTAGTATTTTTAATTCCCATTCAGAAATAACTGCAGATTTCATGACTCCATTTTGCTTGAGTGCACTTCAATTTTTTTAAAGGAGGTGTGATTGTCAATGTCATCTTCCTTAGATCAAGTATTTTTATTTCTGTTTTGGAGAAAATGAAGTAGGGAAAGACCAAAAAAGTTTATTTCTAAAGCTGACTACCATTTTGTAAGGTCATATTAATTCTTATTTCATTTCCATTACTGTAATTCTTGTATAACGTTGGTATCTGGGTTAGTTGTTTTAAAAAATGTCAAGTGTATTTAGCTATGCTATTTGAAGTTTGCAACAAAATTTGGGTACGTACACTTGTTAAAAGTCAGTAGAAGTCTCTTGTATTTAAGAAAAAGATACATGATTGCCCTGGCCGGTTTGGCTCAGCGGTTAGAGAGTTGGCCTGCAGTCTAGAGAGACCCGGGTTTGGTTCCCGCTAAGGGCACGTACCTTGGTTGCAGTTTGTTCCTGGCCCTGGTTGGGTCGTGTGGGTGACAACCACTCGATGTGCCCCTTTCACGTCGATGTTTCTCTCTCTCTTCGCCTCTCTCCCTCCTACTCTATCTGAATAAAAAAATGGGGGAAAAAAGTCCTCGAGTGAGGATTAAAAAAAAAAAGAAGAAAAGAAAAAGATACACGAAACACTCTTGCTGGCAACTGGCCTCATTGGCACAACAGAAGTTGATGGTACTGTATTATATGAAAGTAATACTGAAACAGGCTTGTGTTCTAGGGTCAGGTTTTTAAGAAATCCTTGTTGGGTAGTTAGATTCCTAAATCTCATAATAATTCTGTTCCAAATGCCAGCTTCAGAAATATAGTTGTGCTTCAGTTTTCTCTCATCTTCATTAACTTGATGAAACACTTCTCTTGCTCTTTTTTAAATATTTTGACTCCCACCCCTTTCTAATGTTCAACAATTGCCCTCTTCATTTTTCTTTAATCCTGCACTGTAAAATTTGGTTTTCTAATAACAGGTCACCAGTGATTGTCTTTTGCTCATCTTTGGTTAAAGCTTCTGATGAAGAATAGCTTACATCCATAATACATGCTAGTCAGGAAGTGTCACTGCATCCTTTCCTTTGTTCGTTGGCTCCATTTGGGCTGTACGGATGAGGAGCACTTTTTTAAAAAGCAGAGCCCACTCTTCCTTCACCACAAGTGAATCTTTCAAATTCTGGTGCGTTATCAGCTTTTCAGTTAGTGGTACTATTCCCAAAGATTATCAATGTCTCTTTCCAAATAGTCTCACATTTCATGATTGACAGTGAATGGATGCATGCTTCCATTTCTGTGCTTTTGAATTTATTTAGTTCTATACTTATTATTGCCATGTCTTAGGTCTTAACTTGGTCCAGGGCTTTTGTGTATCTGGTGGTCATACTGAGGAATGAGTGACCTGTACATACTCAAGATCCTTCGTGCAAGTACTTCTGCCACTGTGGATCTCAGCCTGAGCTTTCTGCTGAGTTTGCCTTTTAGTTCGTTTTGTGTGTGTCTTGTTCTATTTCTTCATTCTTTGTTTTAGGATATTTCTTTGCTCTAATTCCTCAGTTGTGGGCCTCTGGCTAAGTCGCCTAATTTCCAATTTGTTCTTAGGGGCCCTACCTCTCTGCTTCAAATGTCACTGCAAGATGTTTTCTAATTCTTTCTTAGATGATCTATTGTTATGTTTGATTGTGAGAACATCTCATCATCTATTTTACGTGCCAAAGCACATTCACCACTGCCATCTTTATCTACATCTACTTCCTTGTGGTCATTGGTGGACAAAAGAGGCCTATCACAGTCAGAGTCAAAGATTCTGTAGAGTGTCCCATCTGCCCAGGTCTCACTGGTGCTAACATGTAAGCCAGTGTCTGACAGAGAATGGTTCTCTGTGTCAGGTCTTCGGTACAGACACAGATTTGGGTCTAAGGAGAGATGGGCAGGGAGCTCCATTGCTTACTGGGACAACAGGATTATCTGAGGGAATGATGTATTGAGGCCAGGGAGGCCTCAGACTTGTGGAATTTGTCTGTGGTCTTCTCTTCTGTGCCAGGGACAGACTGCTCAGGTTTGAGACTCTCCACTCTGGTTTTGGAAAGATCTCCTCTAAGGTTGACCACACCAGAAGTGGTTGTGTCTGACAATGGTTGATGGTTGAGGTGTTAGCTCCTTAGGCATTTGGTTTGTTTTCACTTCTGGCTGTTGTAATTAGTGATGCTGTGAACAAGTTTTACTTGACTACCTGTTTTTCTTTTGGGTATATACCTAGGAGTGGGAATTGCTGGGAATGCATAATTCAATGTTTAACTTTTGAGAAAACACCAAACTATTTTCCACAGTGGCTGCACCATTTTACATTCCCAGTAGCAATGTATGCGAGTTTCAAGTTTTCTGTGTCTTCACCAACACTTACTATTTTATATTTTTTAATTGTCAGTCTAGTGGGTGTGAAGTGACATGTCATTGTGGTTTTGGTTTGCAGTTTCCTAGTGACAAATGATGTGGATTTTTTCGTGTGCTTTTTAGCATTTGTTTATCTTTCCTGGAAAAATGTCTGTTTAAATCCTTTGCCCATTTTTAAAATTGGGTTGTGTGCCTTTTTGTTGTTGAGTTGGGCCATATTTTTGTAAATAAAGATTTACGAGGACTAAGGCTGGGATTAGGGTGAGGCAAGTGAGACCGGGTTGTACAAGAGTAGGGTCAGATACTGTCTTTTTTATTTTTATTTTACTTTTTTAAAGCTTTAAAGCATTTTTATTCTTTTTTTTTTTTTTTATCCTCATCCAAGGACTTGTTTGCATTTACCTTCAGATAGAGTGGAATAGAGAGAGGGAGGAAGAGAGAGAAAAATTGACATAAGAGAGACACATTGAGTGGTTGCCACCCACATGACCCCAACCAGGGCCGGGGACAAACTGCAACCTAGGTATGTGTGTTCTTAGCGGGAACCGAACCCGGGACTCTCTGGTCTGTGGGCCAGTGCTCCAGCCGCTGAGCCATACCGGCCAGGGCAGATCCTGTCTTTTTTAAATGTTTTGTTTAGCTGATATTTTTGCATTAAGTTTGATTTTTTTTAAATAATGAACTAAAAATTATCTTGATGGCTGTTTTTTTTTGCTCCAAAGACTAGGACCTTACTAGTCTTACTGCAGTCACGACCCTATTTAAAATACCTGGTAGAAACAGTACAGCAAGCAGTTTACAAGTAGCTCTAAGCTGAGCAGCAGGAATGGCTGCCCTTACCTTTTTTCTTAACCTCCCAGCACTCCAGATGGAACTGTCCAGCATGGCTCTAGCCTGTTGCTTGGTTTCTGCCAACTTGTAGCATACCTAATGCCCACTTCTGACCCCAGGCCTTTTTCTCTTCAAACACTGAGCACAGCTCAGGTGAATTCCCTGAAGGCAGCCCCTGGCACGTACAGATCAGACCTCTCCAGCCCTCTCTGTGTCCTCTCCCTACAGCTCTCTTGCGCCCCGACTTACTGTAGGAAAAGCTCTTGACTTGAATGACAGCCAAGAAGTGCCTGAGGGTGCGCGGCAGGGAGGGGGAGTCTTAGATGGGAGAGGAGATCCGGGTACTGCGCGAGCGCCCTCCAGCGCCTCCGCAAAGCCCACTCGCTTCTGTCCCGCGCATCGTCCACACCGAGAGCAGGCACCACTCCTCTACCAGTTCTAGTGGAGCAGCGCGGCGGCCACGCTCTTAGACACGTGGCGGTGCCAGGCACACATGCTCGATCACAGCCACGAGTCCACCTTCCAGGGTCCCCGCGGGCAGTGTGGAGAGCCCTCCCCTGAGGTACCTGTGAACCCCCGCAGGGTCAGGCAGGGTGTCGGGGCCGCGTCACGGCGGTGCCCTCCCCGGGGCTGGGGTCTGCTCTCCTCGAGGCTCCCGCTGTGCACACTGCCGCACATGCGCACTGAGTGCGTGCCGCGGCGGAAGTGGGCGGCCCAAGTGAGGCGTGTTCCTGGGTGTGACGTGGCGCGGCAGCTCCGCATTGCCGCGGTCGCCGCAGTCACCGCCGGGCGCCGCAGCCGGGTGGTGTGCTGGTGGCCTTGAGGTTTGACTTGTCCCCGGACAGGAGGACGGACGGACGGACTGACGAGATGCCGCGGTCCCACAGGCCTCCGCCGACGGCTCAACGGTCCGCCAGCGCCGCGGGCAGCGCTGCCGAGCCCAAGCCCGAGGGAGGCAGCCTGGCGGCCACTTTCAGGATTTTTCTCCTTTTTGCAGGACTTATGGTTAAAGTTCCCGTGGGGTTATATTTTTCTTGTAAACTACTCCTTTTCCAAAGTCTCCTATTAATGTCCCCTGACGACAGCGGCTTTTACGCGGCCGTCGTCGCAGGGGTGGGCTGCACGTGGCGCTGCCGTTCTCGTCTTGGTGGTGTGGAAGGAGGGCCCGCCCGGTGGCGGGGGCTCGAGAGCGGCGCAGAGAGGACCTGAGGGTGGCCGCTCGTCCGCTCAAACAGCAAGGTGTCTGTCTGTCTGTCTGTCTGGGGGGAGGGGGAGGGGAGGACAGTCAGCATGTGCTGCCGTGAAGCTTCAGTGGGTGTGGGAGGGGAGGGCCGACGCTCCGCTGCCGGCCTGTTCCGCCACGTGCTTTCTTAAAGGACGGCGTTTGTGACTGAGGCTCACGTCTGACTGATGTAAATATTAACGCCAAAGTAGGACACTAGGATTAGGTGACACTAACATAGTAGAATATTTTTCTTACTAAAATTGTGTTGTGACGTAATTTGTATGGCTTGGCTCCAGCAGCAGTGTTCAGAGTGCACGTAAGTGTCGATGCGCAGAGCTCGCTACGTGCGCGCCGTCCGTGTCCGCCGCGAGGCTGCTGGCGTCTGGAATGTGGCTTTTCCCAGCGTCGGTCAGTGCTCGCTGTGGGCCATTGGTGGTGGTATCAGGGCCTGGCAGTTCATGTCATTCCTTGCATTTGGGGGTGGAAGTTGAGAATTCACTCTCTTAGATTGACAAGGTGCAGCCGATGTTCAATACTGCAGCTTACACTTTTGGTAAATTTTCTCTGCAGTGCTGGTTAAACAATGACCTAATTTTGATGCAGACCAAATACATGACTCAAATTTCATCTACAAATGACTTCCCTACTGTTTTCTATTTGTTTTTCAGTAGCATTTTGATAAGCCTTGGCAAATAGGTATGGAATTCTAAGACGGAATTATCCACTTATAGTGGAATTTTGAGACTAATATAAGAACCCAGATTAATTTCCACCTTTTGGTTGGAAAGGCTGTTATTAATATTTGGTGAATATTAAATTAAGTTTTGAATTCATAGTCTCCCTGTGTTATCTGTTGATTATTTGTAGATTTTATATGTTGACTTTTCTTACTTGTAATCTTTCAAAGGTGTACGTTTTACTGTAGTTTTTGGTTTAGGGGTTCATCAATAGTCATCTAGAGTCTAACCTTTATTTTGATAATTTGATTTTAGAGTGGAAGTTGATATGGCAACATGCACTTAGAATGAGGAAATGTTTGCTTGTTCCTTAAAAGCCTAGTAAATTAATCTATAATAAGGGAAATGCAAAGTAGCTTGGTTTGGTTCCATTTTTGCACGTTACATGTATTTTACATGAGTGTAAAAATACCCTTAATGTGCATGTCATTTTGAAGATTAGGCCATATGAGTTCATCATCTGCACTATTTCTTCCTTTTCAACCTCATTTTTTTTTTTTTTTTTCCAGTTCACCCCTTTACCATTGTCCATCATCCAATTCCCCTGAGTTTCTGTTTCCTCCCTCCTCCTTGGCTACTTCAGGGAGAAGGGACTTCTTTCTCTTCAGCTCCAGTCCTTCCTTCTACCCTCCCCAAACCAGATTTCTTTTTCTTAAGTTCCAAATGGATAGATTGTATACATTTAATTTCAGAAATAGGACACATTATTTGATTTTTCTCTCCCCTCCCCTAGTCTTTTACCATAAGTGGCTCTCCTATAAAAGTAAGCTTGACAAAAATGTAGATTATAATAAAAATATTTAATTGCTTGTGTCATGTTTATTTAGCCTCATTGATGCTACTCACAGAGATGTGGATGTGCTGTTACTGCTTTCTAACTCTGCCTACTACGTTGCCTAGTAAGTTGCTTATTGATTTAAAGCTTTTAATTTTGTTTTTAAATCTAAGACGTTTCCATTGTAAGGAATTAAAAATCTGGTTTTATATATTTTAAGAAACATAATTGAACCCTTTTACCTAACTTATATCATTCAGACTTCCTTTTATCAATCTGAAATGTTTTTTAGAGTTATAATCAGTGTGTTTGTATAATATTCTTTTAGCATTTATTATTTCCTATACATATCCAAAATTTTGATGTATTCCACATCTTTTTATTGTTAATGACCATATATCAGTTTTTATTACTATGCCATAGTTGAATATTTCCCCATTGTTAGGCATTAAATAATTCCTTGTTAGTTTTGCTATTGTGAATGATACAGCTGTAATTCTGCGTGGGTGTGCACATGCATTTCTCTTTGGTTACATTACATCACTTGGTTACAATGATGAATACTACTACTTTTGTGGTTTATTGCCAGATTGATCTCCAGAAAGACTACCAATTAACAATGCTACTAGCGAAAATACAAGTACTTCCTCATAGCCTTGCCAGAATTGAGGGTTGTTTTCTTTTCCCTAATATTCACTTTCTTTTTGGTCTTGTGTGAACTGTCATTTTTTTTTTGTCTTTGGCCCAGGTGCCTGTTGGCATTGAATCACATGGGTTTTTCCTTCTTGATTTGGATATAATTTATATGCTGTATTATTCACAAATACTTAGCTTCAGAACATTTATCTCTATTTTTTGCCTTCCTTTTAGGTGAAGGTTTATGTTTGTTGGGTTTTATTTTATATAAGTTTTTATAAAACTGAAATTATTTTTGCTGTGAATTTCTTTTTTCTAGTGTAAGATCTATAAATTGATTTTTCTTTAGCTATTGAATTATATGTTGCCCTGGCCGGTTTGGCTCAGCGGTTAGAGCGTCGGCCTGCGGTCCTGAGAGACCCGGGTTCAGTTCCCGCTAAGGGCATGTACCTCGGTTGCAGTTTGTCCCCGGCCCTGGTCGGTTGTGCGGGTGGCAGCCACTCGATGTGTTCCTTTCACATCGATGTTTCTCTCTCTCTCTCAGTTCCTCTCTCTCCCTCCCACTCTACCTGAACAAAAAATGGAAAAATGTCCTCGGGTGAGGATAAAAAAAAAAAAAAAAAAAAAAAGAATTATATGTTAATCTCATTTCATCTAATTTTAAAAATATTTGTTTAACTCTGTTGCACTATGGAAGATTTCTTATTATACCTCAGCTGACAAGACAAATATGCTTTGATTTTTAACCCTCTTTTTAATCCCTTTTCCTTTCTCTAGTTATGATGATGAAGTTGATAAAGTAAACCAGTATCAACGACTAAGTCTAGAAGACCTTGAAAAAATAGAAATAGGTAATTTTAAGATACTAACCAAGTTATAGAAAACAAATACTTCTCTTCAAAGAGTAGATCAAGTTATTTATGCAGCCAGTATAACATCTTATTAGAACCAGAAAGGGATATTCCCAGTAGCCTACTTTTTAGGACTGCCTTCTATTCTTTAGAGATTAGTGATGGATATAATCTAATAATAACTATTTCTTTTATTATTTATCTTGTGAAGATTAACCCAGGGATCAAGAAAGTTTAAATATTTGAGACTGAAGAATATTTATTTAGTCTCATCAAACCAAAGTGTCACGATAAATTTGTATTTTATGTGCTTTTGTTTAGATTATGAAGAAAAATGTGCTAAATAATCTAATTGATGAATTGTTGGTCTTTTGAAGATATAGAAGGAAGTAAATGTTATGTGAAAGATTTACATATATTCATTTGGGTCTGTAGGTCCTGAACCCACTCTTTTTGGTAAGCCAAAGTTCTCCTGCATGCGACTGCACTATAGACATAAAGAAACAAGTGGCTATTTCCATACACTGAGAGCTGTAATGCGCAATCCAGAAGAGGATGGGAAAGGTAATGAAGAAAGATGAAATTATTGTGTGATTAACTTTTTATCTGCTCTTATAAGCCCAAATAGAATTGAGGGCAGTACATACCATTGCCAGCTAAATAATCCAGGGAAATAGTTTTGTGATTTGAGACCTTGAAATACCAACTTCGTTCCCAGCAACGCAGGGAGGTTGTTTGAACTGATACAGTTTGGGGCAAGGTAATCTATAATAAGAATTCTGTGTGTGTGATCATATGGATTCTGGGCTTTTCCCACCACATGTGCCTTGTACGGGTAGTAGTTAGGGACCATGCCTGCCTTGTTTACAGCTATTACCCCAGCATCTGGCACTTTAATTCCAATTGATTTGGTTCTTTTGCTCTTTATTTACTCTTCTGTTAAAATTGGTTTTAGAACACTGAATTAGCGGGGGGCGGGGGGGGGAATAAGGAGTTTTCTGTAAATTGAAGCAAATAGATTTGCATTTAACTGTAAGACTACAAATTCCATTTAATATAAGATCTATAAATTGAGTTAGAACTATTTTTTTAGTATGTTTTCGGAGAAAGTAGCAAGCAGTTATATTTGGGTTTCAGATACCCTTCAGTGCATTGCAGAGATGCTGCAGATCACCAAACAAGCCATGGGATTAGATGTACCTATAATCGAGAAAAAACTTGAGAGGTGAGTATACTACTATTATTTCTCTCAGGAATAAAGACATTATTATTCAAAGTCTTATTTCTTTAAAAGTATTTGCACAGGTGGGGGGATCACATTATGTTAATGAGTTGGTATTTAGAGAGGGAAGTGTTGAATTTCTGTGGATCAAAGGTAAACCGTTTTGTTGAGATTATGGCCACAAGTGATATATGTTTAAATTCTTAAAATATACTCAAAAGGGAAGGACTCAATTTAAATACCTTTGTAGAAAAAATAGCCACTATGTTTTATACACTAGGTTTCTGAATTTGGGGAAAGAGTGCCTGTAAACAGATTTTACATTTCAATTTGTGGATTTTCCAGCTAATGAGCAGGTCTCACAGCCCACCTTCCAGTAGAGAAGAGCCATTTGGTCATCTAGAGAAAAATTGTTCAGTCTTTTGTTAGTAGAGGTCATTGTTTCCGTAGTCTTTTTTTTTAAAAATCTTCACCCAAGGATATTTTTCTATTTATCTGTAGATAGAGTGTGTGTGTGTGTGTGGGGGGGGGGGCATTGATTGGTTGCCTCCTGCACGACTAGGGCCGGGGGCCAAACCGCAACCCAGGTACGTGCCCTTGACTGGAACCGAACCCATGACTCTGGTCCGAGGGCTGACACTCTAACTGCTGAGCCAAACCGGCTAGGGCTGTTTCTATAGTCTTGAATGTCATATTTTTTTTTCCTTTATTGATTTGAGAGAGAGGAAGTGAGAGGGAGAGATAGAAACATCGATGAGAGAGAATATCGATTGGCTGCCTCCCGCACGCCCCCACTGGGGATCAGGCCCATAGCCAGGGTATGTGCCCTGACTGGGAATCAAACTGACAATCTCTTGGTGCATGGGTCGATGCTCAACCATTGAGCCACACCGGCCGGACTTTAATGCTATAATTTTTTTTTTTAAAGAAAGGGTTGTCTTATTTATTTATTTTTGGTACATGCCCCTAGCAGGAACCAAACCTGGGACTCTCTGGTCTGCAAGCTGACGCTCCAACCGCTGAACCAAACTGGCCAGGGCTACTGTTTTAATTTTTATAAAATAGTCTCATGACCAGTGATGCTGCATGACCAACAAGAATCAAACATTCAAGACACGTGGCAAATAACACGACTGTTTTTATTTATAGCTGTCGTGAGGGATACCAAAGGAGAAACCACTAACTTGAGTTATGTTAAGTGTCCCAGATCTTTTCAAATAAATTCAGATAACCCACAGGGAAGGAACATGAGGAAACAAAATTCTGCCTCCCACCTCTACCTGAATTCAGCCAAATTGGAGTGGAGATTACGGTGCTGTAGATTCCCATTTATAATTAGTGTTGCCTTTGCCAGTCATTTAGATTTGTATGTGGAGTCTTTGAAATGTGCTTAGTCTGAATTTTGGGTGTGGGTTTTTGTTCTTTTGAGAGAAATTTATTCTCAGAATGCACAAAAACATGGGCTGAGGCAACTGTTGGGAGGCTTCCCTCCCTTCTTCCACTGTCTGCTCCGCCTCTCTGAATGCCTAGGAGAATACAGTGGAAGGAAATATGCAATAACAGCAGTCAACTCTGAAGACAAAATGTTTGGCCCCAAATAACACAACATAATTAATCCAATTACCAGAAAGGTCTTCATTGGGCAGGTTTAAAATACTGCAGATGTCGTAGTGTTCCCACTACTACATCTTTGTTGTTGCACCTGGCGGCCTGCTTGAGGAAGGTGAAGATAGAGCACATGTGGGAGATGTCTCTCGCCTGCTTGCTGGGCTTGGGTTAGTCACACAGCCAGGCCACCCATTACTACTCAGTGCCTGGGAACAATTCACTAATGTCATTTACAAAGGCTTCTGCTGCCCTCTTGTAAAATACTAACCACTGACTTTCAAAAACTCAGTATGAAGAAGATATACCTTATGTTTTAATATTGATTATATGCCGAAACAACAATATTTTGTATATGTTGGGTTAAATAAAATAGTATTAAAATTCATTTCACATTTTTAATGTGGCTGTTTTCAGTTATATCAACAGCTCACATATTTCTGTTGGACAATCCTGTTCTAGTGTCAACTCCAAGGGGTTATCTTAGTTTATCGATTAGCAATGCACTATTTTCACGAAATGCGGGCCAATTTAAATAACATAATTTTCACTTACTTTAATAATTGGAACTGGTATGTTGACTTCCATAGGGAATTAACTTTTTTCTCTTCTACTTTGTAGGAAGAGCAGTAAACCTCATGAAGACATCATTGGCATCAGATCTCAAAATCAAGGCTCTCTGGCCCAGGGAAAAAATTTTTTAATGAGCAAATTTTCATCTCTAAATCAAAAAGTGAAACAGACCAAATCCAATGTAAACATTGGCAATCTACGAAGGCTAGGAAACTTTGCAAAACCTGAAATGAAAGTTAATTTTCTAAAACCAAACTTAAAAGTAAATCTTTGGAAGTCAGATAGTAGTCTTGAAACCATGGAAAACACAGGTGTGATGGATAATAAAGTCCAGGCAGAGTCTGATGGGGAAATGTCTTCAGATAATGACTCCTACCGCTCTGATGAATTCCTTACAAATTCCAAGTCTGATGATGACAGGCAGCTAGCTAATTCTTTAGAGAACGTAGGACCAATAGACTATGTTCTTCCGAGTTGTGGTATTATTGCTTCAGCACCTCGATTAGGAAGTCGATCCCAATCTATTAGCAGCACTGACGTTAGCATTCATGCTCCTTCAGATAATACTATTGGAAGTGAGCTTGGAAAAGGCCGTGAGTCTCCTTTAAGAAAAAGTCCTTCTGCTGACAATATACACATATTGACTGGTTTTGCCAAGCCTGTGGATATTTACTGCCACAGATTTGTACAAGATGCACAAAGCAAAACGACCCAACTGTCAGAAACCAGATCTATTTCTCAGCAGCCTAGTGAGGAAGGAAATCAAACGACCAATCAAGTTTCTAATGAAGAAACCCAATCTGAATCAATGGAACAGATACCTCCTCGACCATCTCAATTAGATGTGTCTTTTTCCGCAACAGGCCCACAGTTTTTGTCTGTTGAACCAGTGCATTCAGTTGTATCTCAAAAGACCCCTGGCTCTGGATCCAGCACGCTTGAACTTGACACAGGGCTTCACGTAACTCCTTCTCCTTCAGAGAGCAACAGCAGCAGAGCAGTCTCTCCCTTTGCGAAGATTCGGAGTTCCATGGTCCAGGTTGCTAATATTACCCAAGCTGGGTTAACCCAGGGGATAAACTTTGCAGTGGCAAAGGTTCAAAAGAGCCCTGCCGAACCTGAAGTGGTTAATGAAATCCAGCAAAACGAACTTAAAAATATGTTTACACAATGCCAGACACGAATAATTCAGATTTAGTTTTTAGCCACAAAGAATCCTGTGGCTTTTACATAATCCAAAAAAAAACGTTTCACATATTAGGCGATTTTAACCTGTACTGACTTTGAATTTAGGGATCATAAATTCTAATTATGTTTATTGGGAAAGGTTTTAAAAGGAGTGTGAACTTGAGCAGATTTCCAAATTTGAGAGGACAACAGAAGTGCATCATCCTAGAATGTGTAGACCTGAGTAGCTTATACACTACAGAGCTGTTTGTCTCTGAATGTAATTCAGGAACGGATTACTTTGGGATATAACCTGAGCCTTTTTTGGAGTGGGTGGGTAGGTGGGGCAGTTGAGTGTATGAAGTAGACACATCAAGGATGGTCATGGATACATTTAGGGGATTAGCTTTTTATAATTTGTTTTTCTCAGTACATGTTTGTGTATTCTACAAGGTAAATATATTTAGTTTTTAGTGATTTTAAGTGTTACTAATAATGAGAAGCATTTCAGTTATAAAAAACTTGGTTTTGTTTTGATGGTTTAACCATTCCCTATGAAGAATGGAGAATTATTGGCATAGTCAAGTAATGTATGCCTATTTGATCCTAATTTTCCCCATATTCTAAACAAATTTTAAATTTTCTGCCACCCTGTATACCCCAAAGTCTAGGAGCATTAAGACGTGTCAGTCATAAAACCTGAGACATCAGATGTGAGTACCAGCACCCATTAATTTTGCTGTTTTCAGGTAAGAATGTACATTTACTGGATATTGGTAATTTCTTCAAAGAAGTCTTCAAGTTTTAATTTTTTGTAGGGAGCATTCCTTAACATCTTGTGTAGACTATTTACAACTATTGAAACTTAGTATGAAGCACAACTGTGCTAAAATTGTTTTTTTGACCATAACCCCGACCACATGGAAACAGGGTCTCTTCTGTAAGCCCATACATTAACAAAGTTGCACACTTTATTCCAAACAAGTATTGGTTTGTCTGATATCTTTAGATCCTTATTCTGTTGAAGTGATTCTCAGCTAAACATTATGTCTGTTATAATTTTGATAAGTATTTGTTATTTATTAGTGATATTTGTGTGTGTGCGTGTGTGTATGTGTGGTGTCAAATCTTGTGACTATTTAAAAATAAAATGCCATTGTAATTTAAAGTGACAATGTATGAGAATTCCTTGAATAATATTTTAAAGATAAGGGTTCGATTTTTGAATCACATTAACGAATTTCATAACCAAACACTTGGTCCCAGCCTTTCTAAATATTTTACTCTTGAAGTATTTTCATGATTTCTAACTTTTCAAATGATGAAATGGGTCAGACTATCAAATTTTAAAACCCAAACATTGGAAGTAAATGTTTTGTCTCATTCTTTACCAACTTTTCTTGAAAATATTAACTGCCCCACAACATGAGAAAATATTAAGCAAAGTCATGTGGTAAAATGTTTTAAGCTCCACAGAAATTAGTTCCGAAGAGATTTGAAAACTAAAAGTAGTTCCAATGAGAGTAATGTTCGTTCAGTTTCCTGGTGATTCAAATAGTATTAACATCACATTAGATCAACAACTTTAATGTCCACGTGTATAGCAAGGGAGAAAAGGGTTTCTGACTCCCCAAGTTTGCTTCCTACCTGCTCAAGTGAGCACACCACGCTACACCACCTCTGGTAATGGTTTTCCACCAAGAGGTCACAGTATCTCTTCCACACAGACCACATGGGATGAGTTTTAGTTAGTTCTTTGAAAGAAGAACCTTTTCTGCAAGACCAGGCCACTTACCTACTTCTCTTTAGTAAATTACAATTCACATTGGGACAATAAACACACAGTAACTAATCTACTCTATTGAATTTTATTCCCACAAATCCAGTTGAGGTTTCATTTCTAAAAGTTTAAAGAAGGTCTAGTCTACCAGTTATAAAAATGAAAACCAGTTAGAATACTAAATATAAGCATTATTTACATTAGTTTATAAAAATAGATTTGAGTTTAGGAAAAGTTAATTAGTAATTTTCACTTCAGTTTGTTAGGCATAATAAATTCCTTGATTTTCAAGGCCGACCCTGTTTCCTTGGTTAGCAATGTCATTCTAGGCTTGGGAGGTGAATTTAAGGAATCATTTAACTGAACTCTAATGTTTTCAAATAGATAAGTTACTGACTGAAAGAAATTAAACTTTATATACAACCACTGATAACATAAGCAGCATTCCAACCTTTCCAAACATTCTGGATGCCACAGTTATACTATATACTGCATTAATTTGTTTTGTAGCTATAAATAATATTTTTGTTCAAGTAAAAACTTTTTTCTAAAGAAGGCATTTTAAAAAAGTTAACTATTTTGCTCTCTTCACATTTAGGCAAAACACCTTCATAGGGCAGAATCTCCTTAAGTGAGTGCCATAAAACAGTGGTTCCCAAATGCACTAGGGTGAAATGAGAAAAATAAGGACAATGGAGTATTTTTTCAAAAAGCTACATTTATTCCATTTAAAGGACTATCTTGTTCTGAGCTTGTCCTCTTATGAAAAAAATAATGGTGATAATACAGTGATTTCTTTCAGATAACTTGGCAAAATAAATTGGCAACCTTGTCCATCCCAAAATTTTGGGACTTATTACTTACTGGTCCATGAACTCCAAAAGTATGGGAACCACTGCTACATTAAAGACTAGTTTTGCAGGTTAACAACTGTTAAATAGAAAAAACCTTCTATGGTCAAATGTTTGGGAAATCATGTGAAATTCTGTAATATTTCCCAAACATCTGACCACTAAACACATTCAGATGCACTGTTAACTGGAAAGACATAAAAATCTTAAGCGAACAATTCCTGACTTCGGAGTTGCAACAATTTTTCTTCAAATGAAGTTGATGCTAAAAAGGAGGGACATCTGTAATACTTTCAACATTAGAGATAAATTAAAAAAAATTGATGCTGGCATTTCAACAGTCTGGTCTATGACTTAGCTGAAGCTAAGGAAATGGTATAATCACCAACATTTATCTTATCAATATTAAACTTTTAATATCAAATACATTTTTGTACATTATTACTAATTTATATAATTATAAAACAAACTCCAAAAGCTCCATAAAATCAGTAAGGTAAAAGCCCCTACTGAATATTATATAAACTTCAGATGTTACCAGGCTTGATTTCAGGAAAAGTCATTGGTTTTTGATACAAATTATCTACAAAACAATGTGGTATAAATGATATTTGAATTTTATAATAATGTGGCTATAATTTGCCCATTACTCTTTCATAGGTATCAGATGTTTAAAGTTCGTTTCCATTCACACATTTCTGCTGTTGAAGCCTGGTTCTTCGCAAAGACTCCAGCTGCTTCGCTCTTAGCCATCGTTCTCTTGACAGTGTTGTCTGACCAGCACTGAGAGACAGAAACCTAGTTTGAGACAGAAACAAATTTAAGTCTAGACCTAGAAATAATGGTTTAGGACATAAGATCTCTAGTAGGGCTAGAAGTCAAGAGCCAAGTTGGACTTCTACAAAGGAATCTTTAAGTCATATTTAGAGGGTGACTTGCTTTTAGAAGCTTAGAGAACACGAACCATGCTTGGTTCCACTGAAGTGATCACTGGCCAAACACAATTTCACTTCAACGAGCCACTTCACAAGGTGTTTTTAAAAGAAAAAGGTTCATTTCTATTTTTAGAACTCTACCTCAGTTATTACTAAATAAATTAGGGGCTGTATTCACTGCTTACTTTAAGCAATTATGGACATGTACCACTTACCGAGCTATAATGAGCAACTGGTGGAGATCATCAGCAGTGATGCTCTGAGGGTCATTCTTGCGCATTTCCACAAAGTCGTCTTCAACTGCCTTTATCAAGAGAGTAAATGGACTTTAAAACCATTCCTTAGGAGGAAACGACATTTGCATTTAATAGAAAAAGGGAAAGTAACATGGTCCCTTGACTGCTGTACAAATGAAGTCAGCCCAGCTTCTTAGACAAATGAGGAAACTAACGGGTGAAAGGATTGAGAACCAAACTTTATACATACAAATAATGCTACCGATGAAGGTAATCCAAACAAAATAAAACTCAGATTCATTTATGAAGACCAGGCAAACAGATATAAGTTAGCAATGTGCAAAGCAAACACAATGCTTTTAAACACAGCCAAGAATGACGTCAGTAAACATGGCAGAGTTAAGACCTCTGAAAATTCTTTCCACCATTAAAGGGAATAAGAACACTAGTAAAAATGATCAAAATCAACTTTTTCAAAACTAAATTAACCAGATGCTTATAGCAATCTGAGGAGCATTTATTCAAGAAAGGCACTAAGTACATTGAGCTTTGCGGGATTTTAACTTGCCCTATTCCCCACGCCCACCCCACCCCACCTCACCTCCCAAGCAGGCCTGAAAATGGATAGCCTGGCAGTCACTGAAGAGGGTAGTGGGGCTGAAGCTCTTTCAAAGTTCCATTCAAAGAGAATTATCATTTGACTATCTGGTGGTTCCCTGGAAGAAACCACCTGCAAGGTTGTCTTTATTTAACTGACTTGGAGCTTGCCCAGAGTGAACAGTCTCTTCCCCCATGGCATTTATTTAAAAAACAATCAGAAGCAATTATTGACCATCTTGGCTACTTCGGGTACTGGCTAACCAAAACCCTTAGGAAAATTAGGGAATGAAATGTCCATGTGTGTGATATATCTATATAAATAAATTTCTAGGAATTAAAAAAGCCACATGCACACACAGGTCTGAGTGCATGCTCACATCAGAGCAGGCCCTAAGCTCTCACTTCTGAATAACCTTGAGGCTCTACACAAGCAGAAAGTGAAGGAAAGCTAGGGCAGAGTTGTAAACTGCACAGCTGTGTTGAAGGCTTGCCCCAAAATGGATACAAAGCCCCTTGGCTTAGATCGGGAGACATACTGCTTCCAGGTATCTCAGGAAATTAAATTTCTTTCTAATCACTGAGTCACCACTAAGCTAAGATAGCAGAAACGTTAGTGTCCACATACAACAAAGAACATAAACTATAGAATTAATTCAGAAAATCATTACATAACAACAAACACTGGTTGGGGGCAAGGGAATATCTGTCAGGAGAGTTAACACATTGTATTATTTAAAATGTCTAGTTTTCAACACAAAAATCAGGAGACATACAAAGAAACAAGAATGTATAACCCATTCATTAGACAAAAATAAGTCAATAGGAACTGTCCTTAAACGCAAAGAATGGACTGATAAGACAAAGACTTTAAATGAGCCATTTAAAATATATTCAAAGAACTACAGGAAACCACATAAATTACTAAAAGAAAACATGAGAATGATGTCTTGCCAAATAGAAAATAGCAATAAATAAAAATTATTTTAAAAACAAATAGAAATACTGAGGTTGAAAAATATAAGTGAAATTAAAAATACACTAGAGACTTCCGGTCAAGATGGTGGTGTAGGTAAACGCGGTATTGCGTCCTCCCACAACCACATCAAAGTTACAACTAAACTACAGAACAACCATCATTCAAAACCGCCTGAAATCAAGCTGAATGCAAATCCTACAACTACGGAATTAAAGCAGCAGCCACATCCAGACTGGTAGGAGGGGCAGCGCGAGGGGCTGGTCCCACACCCACGTGTGGCGGATACAAATCAGGAGGATACCTCAGCTGGGAAGGTCCTCCCTGAGGACTGAGGGGTCCCCATCCCACACCAGGTGCCCCGCTCAGGGTTCCAGTGCCAGGAAGAGAAGTCCCCATAAATTCTGGCTGGAAAAACCAGCAGGAACTGAGGCTCAGGGAGGCTGAGGTGGCTGGAGCCCCAGGCAGCTCCTTAAAGGGCCCGCGCAGGGACTTATCGGACTCTCTCCCTCTAAGCTTGGAGGGGAGGCAGCTCGAGGGGCGCCAGAGACACACGGGGAAGAACTGAGCTGTTTGGCATTGGAGCGAGGGCTGGAGAGGGGGCTTTCTCCCGGACAGACGTGCTGTCAGAGGCCTTTGTTCCTTTGGTGAGCCCT